GTTTCATTTTATTAAAATATTTTTATTATATTATATAACTAAAAAAATGTAATTTTCGCAATTTTTCCTATATTTGCATTATATGACAATGCTTTATGCCAAATTTCAAGATTCTGAGTTTACGGGAAGTATCCTGTAGGTTTTGATTCCTTTGCGAGTGTCGAAAATTTGTTGAAAATATCGACATAATCGGCTGTATCTTTTGATTGGCTTGGCTTAGAAGTTTGATATTTTCACAGCTTAAAGGGACAATAGACCTGAGTATTTCATGTGAATTTCAGCTTGATACGTTCACGCGTTCTTGAGATAAAGGGTCTTGACAGAAGGACGGACGGACAACAAAGTGATCCTATAAGGGTTCCGTTTTTTCCTTTTGAGGTACGGAACCCTAAAAACCACAAACTAAGTAACTAAGTGATCTCACTCGATTATTTCTAAACTAATACAAGATATCGATAAACTGGTTACTGATCCTGCAAGTGCTTCACCAGATCTATCCAACGGTACCAATAATAGGTTACAAAATAAACTGGATCTATCCGAAAATTCAATGTCTCCAGCTTCCATACATTTAGTAAAACCTCTTAATATTTAAAATTATACACGATATCCAAAACTGATTACAGATCCTGAAAGTGCTTCACGAGCTTTATCCAATAGTTTCAATAATGATTTAGAAAATAAACTGGATCTATCCGAAAATTCAATGTTTCCAACTTCCATACATTTAGTACTGCCACAGTCATGGCACTCATGTCTTGATAATATTATAGCAAGTAAAACTGACTGACTGACTGACTGACATATCAACGCACAGCCTAAACGGCTAAACGTAGGCACTTGAAATTTGGAAAGGACGTAGCTTAGGTACCGTAGAGGTGCACTAAGAAAGGAATTCTCGAAATTCCCACAGGAACGGGAATTAGCGGGAAAATCCTTTTGTATGAAAAATCTAAGCCGCTTAAGTAAGTTAGACGCTTGAAATTTGGCATGCAGGTACCTTAGTAAACTTAAAGCTTAGTTACAACAGGATATTGCAAAATTCCCACGGGAACGGGAGTTAGCGGGAAAAAACATTTGTATTAAAAATCTAAACCGCGTATGAAGGGGGTAAAACGGGATCCATCTCGAATAATAACCACAAACATCATGCAAGCGCCATTTGTTGGTGAGTGTATTATGCAGTCTCCAATAGATGGCACTGTGCTCCTTTAGATCGCGGTATCATTTGATTTTTTCCCGACTTTGAAGACAAACGAAGATTTTTCACCAAGTAGCAAATACTTTACAACGTTATATACCTATTTTATTATTTTTGAAAACGTTCACTTCTTTACAAGTGGACGTTACGTGATTACTATAGTCCCAGGATTCTGAAACGACACGTGGCAAAATCTTGAAGTAAACCCATTACTGACAGCGGCGACCTCATCTTACTTACTATCTTCTAATATTATTATTATAAATGCGAATGTTTGGATGTCTGGATGTTTGTTACTCTTTCACGCAAAAACTACGAAACAGATTTTGATGAAACTTTACAGAATTATTGTTTCAGTCAACGAAATCACGAATCACATGAATTTCATTCATTCATTCGAGTTCGAGCGAAGTCCGTGAGCACAGCTCTACCAAGCGACAGAGCGAGTAAGAAGGAATGATTTGATCATGTGCGTGTTAGAAAAGGACGAGAAGTGTGATGACGGACGAAATTGGGCATTTTAAATATGAACTTTGAGCTCAAGGTGTAAGGTTTAGATTTCCTTGTCATGATTCGTATGATTTCATTAGATAGCAGGCAGATGAAATGAATGATTTTTCATTAGCAGTCGCGCGGTTATTGATTGTTGCATACCTACATACTGTGCTGTGAAACTGTTTGTTCTTTGTTGTGCGACATAAAATGAAACAGATATTGTTACATTTCATATTTAGCTAATTAGCAATCGTTCATCATACTTCATTAAAAGATGCACATTATATGAAAGAGCTACATTATAACACTGCGAATAAAAATCATTGCCTGTGAAATTTCGCATGTGAAATCATATGAACAAAAATCATCATTTCATAGAATGAAAATGAATGAATAATAGCAATCATTTCCATGCCTATTTATAACCCAGAATAACATTATAGGCTATAATTTAAGACGATCTGTGACAAACTAAATTTCACGCGGGTGAAGCCGCGGGCAATAGCTAGTTTTTCATACCATACAATTTCCTGTACATAATTAAAATAATTTAAGATTTGGTTTTCCTTTAATTTGATTTATCAAGTTTGTTTGAGAGATTTCATCCTTATACTTATAAACCCTAACGATCTATGCAATAAAAATACAGGGTGTAATTTTTAACAGATTTTAGTTGATTCGATTCCCGGGTGTAGCAAGCAATTTTTTGGAAATCTTTGAATGCAGTTCTATTTATTTTCAAAAATAAAGGAATGTTTTCTTTGAGTAAAATTTTCTATCTACAGTATGAAGAGTACTTTCCCTTCAGGTGGCATTACAAAATTCCACCCTGTATATGTAGATTAGATGGACATTATAATCTATTTACTAAAGGACGTACGTGAATGATACCGTACAGGGACTGGGGAGAATGGCGAGAGGAAAGACCAAATCTTCCATTTGCCTCCGGTAAGTAAATTGAAGAGGATCGTGTTACTGCAATGGGGACCAAATTACCTGATGATATAGAATCAAGCTGCTCAACCCCAGGCGCGGGCCACAGTGTAATTTTATGTGACTCGCGCCAGTATGGTTTGATCTTATTGAGTTTTTATTGCGCTTGTCCTGAGAGTAAGGCCCAGAACAGACGGTGAAACGCAACTGCAACGAAACTGCAACTTTGTGATGATTCTGATTAATGAAACTGAAACTGAAAGTTTCAAACTGGTCGCGTCATGTGTGGTCTCTCAACGGACGCTATGGCAGAAACTTGATGCAACTCAAAAGTAACTAGCAGTTGCAGTTTCGTTGCAGTTGCGTTTCACCGTCTGTTCTGGGCCTAACTGAAATAGGAAATATAAGTGGCCCGTCGTTAACGACTGAATCCACAGTTTGGCCCGACGTTTCAAAAGGTTGAGCAGCTTTGATAAGTAGATGATGGTAATTCAAATTCACTAAGGTTTCTTTGTCCACAGATCGGCATCAGCTCCTTCGTAGCAGCAAACAACTGCCAGGGCGGTCACCCATCAGCTTTCGCGCGCGTCACCAGCTTCATGAACTTCATCCAGCAGAACTTGTGGTGAACTAAACTGCTAAGAAAACAAACAATAGGTTTAAAATGTAAATATTAATTGTAAGAATTAAAATTATGAGATCTAAAAAAAGCTTTTGTTTTCTTACCCTACAAAACAGATGTTAAATTATTATTTATTCTTTAAATACATTCGCATTGCCCACTTGTGAGCAGTATTCACCCACTCAACTTTTCTTTAACATATCCATCAGAGTTACTATTACATAACGGTACCTACTGGCTGTAGGCCTACATAAGCCACTTCAGACACCTACTTAGGCATAGGTAGTATTGTTTTACTGCAATATTCGTTTTCTCGGATTCCCCAATTAGATAAATCAATTTCTACTAAAGTTAACTTTACCTAAAACATGTCACACAATACACGCCCTAGAGTCGTGGAAAATTAGAGATACGAATGAAGATAATAATTAAAAATAAAACATAATCCTCACTATAATAATAATGATAAAGCAATTTGTTTTATTGTTAGAACCGTTTAAGGCTAAGGTGTCTCAGCTTTTACATTGTTTCAATTTATTTAGGTATACTACACGTGATTTTAGCAAGTGAAGCAAACCGTAACACCATAAGAAAATGAACCACAAATTATCATGCACTTTCATCATGGCAGTAGTTTTATCCCTTTCAGACCTTACTTAAATAAGCGTGCGCATTGACTTAAAATAAAAATTTGCTTGGCAAAATTTTGTTTTTCGGAACGAAATCGATACACGGCGATCGTGCGTATTATGATACTTTTAATAAAAAATATAGGACCCTCTTGCGGGCAGTTGATCGCCGGACAGCGATTGTGAAAGATGTCAGAATTTTTAGGCGCGAACTCCCGGAGAGGTACGTATATAAAAAAATAGTATTATGCTAGTATTGTTGTTAAAATGTTATAAATTATAAAGTAAATATTGTATTCTAATAAATAAATGAAAAACCATTAAAATAATTTATAGTATTGCTTACTTAAAACTAACTTAAATTTAATGCGCACTATCGTAGCAGTTGGGTTTAAATTCATTTTTAAACGGAAAAAACGGCACGCTCGTGCGTATTGTTTTTTTGGACATTTAATTCAAATAGTAGTAATTTTTTAATTTNCGTGTTTGATGACTTGGCTCTCTTAAAATGGAAATACAACACATTTGTTATGATAATCTCTAACTGTTCCACCAGGAGCTCATAACACTTCAAGGGTCATGAGTTGGAATGGTTTTATTCAAGTAAAAGCTGATTATTATTAAATTTTAATAATAATATCCAAAAAAGTGGGTCTTTTCTTATGGATTTCCTCTAATTTATTAATTATGTACGAGCGTGCGTATAGTGCACTTAGTCCTAACCCGCACGATAGTGCGGGTAATTTTCTGAAAAATTGGAAAGTCGAAAAATTTTCATATTATTTTTCTTGTCTTTCTTATGGACCAAATGTTACATAAAATCCGAGAAAACATAAATTTTGTAGAAAAAAATTTTCAGGTCTGAAAGGGTTATGGGTTTATCCAGTAGGTTATCTTTAAATTATTATATTGCGATTGATAGATTTGTGTGTATGTGATACATAATCTAAAAAGTTCCTTAAAAGTAAATCAATCAAAAAAGACTTAAAATTCTGATCTATCGCATAACACTTGTGGGTATAATACTGTATTCTTAGACGTATTATACTGAAATTTTAAAACGGATTAAGAAGATAACGCCGAATTATAAATATGGATTTCACTATTCTAACTTGGCAAATCATTGGTGACTGTAGTCGAAATGCGTCTTATTTTAGTTATTGTGGTGGCGTTGGTGGCTTCTGCTTCTGCCTTCGTGGAAGTGCTTGGTCCTCGGGGGTACCATGAGGAGATTGGGATCCCTCTGGCGACGGCCTTGAAGGAGGCTGAGGAGCAGATGATAGCGAGCATGGCGCGGCAAAACTTCGACAACAGGGTCGTAGGCGGAGTCATCGCGCCCGCTAACTCCCACCCCTATTTGGTAAATAGTTGAATTTTATAAAGCAAATAATGTATGATTTATATCACTAACAAGGCTTTTAAGACTAATAAAAACATTTGTAAATTAGATGGTTTTTTGAAAGCTTTCTTTAACTTCCATTCGATTGACCTTGATCTTGTCCAATAGGACTTGGACTTTCGGAAACACGCTGATTGTTTTGGCAACTTCTTTTAAAAATGTTAATCGTTTAAATTATGTCGATATTTATCTAGTTATCTGGGAGACCGAAACTTTTCAGACCAAGGTTATTAATATTATACGTGAAGTGATTGTCTTTTCCAAATATCGTGTCCTCCATGCAATGGAGACTAAATGCCCTAATGATGACGATGATACATTTACGATTATCATCGTCATTATTAGGGCACCTACGCGTAAATATTGTTGGTGTCTGTCTAGTAATTGATCTGTAGTGTTTGTAAACAAATACTTTCAGGGTGGCTTGCTGATCAACTTCGTCAACATCGCCGGTACATCAGTATGTGGCTCCTCCCTGCTCTCCTCCACGAGGCTGGTGACCGCCGCCCACTGCTGGTTCGACGGGCGCAACCAGGCCAGCATGTTCACCGTCGTCCTGGGCACCCAGATGCTGTGGGCAGGCGGCCAGCGCATCACGACTTCCAACGTAATCATGCACCCTCAGTGGAACCCGTGGAACTTGTCCAATGATGTTGCCATGATCTATCTGCCCTTCGGAGTCACGTTCACAAGTAAGTGCCTTGCGGATTCACTGAAGAGACTATGATTTTTAAATGATGATAATGACGCAATGCTGTTTGTTTTACAAAGAAAGACTATTTTATTATATCTACTGTTGATGCAGGCATCGAAGGAATTTCTTGGGAGAGGCCTTTTTCCAGCAATAGACGTCAATTGGTTGAAAGTTCTACTCGTATGTGAATCTAGTTTAAAGAGTATCGTAAGTAGGTACTATTACCGAAAAGTGTTGATCTAATTATTGACGTTTTCCATGTTAATTCATCTCAATCTACATCTTTTCGAGATTCCGTGGAGGGTAGTTGAACGGGAAGCATGGTCGATCTGTTTTAATGGTTTCAATTTATTATTTAATGGACTTTAGTGTACAAATTTGGTGTTATTTTGTGTTCTAAAGTGCAGTGAAGTGATAAATTATAAAAAAACATTGAAATACTTCGAATTTCAGCGCGCATCGAGTGTCGAGTGGGTTGTCGTATGAACAACCCGCTTTGGACCCGGTGGCGTCTTGAAACCTGCTTTCGGGCATACTTCACTCCACGGAATCCATGAAAAATCAATAGAACTGAAACACCCACGTTCTATTGATAACTATGTCAATTTTCACTCGACATTGGCAAAAATAAACCTCCCAGAGAGGTTTGGTTGCCATTAAACAAAAAAAAAAAAAAAAAAAAAAAAATACATCTTTTCGGAAAATATGATTTCAAGATAGGTAAATAAGCAGTGAAACAACACGCTTAATTTATTCCTGATATTTTCAGCCACCATCCAGCCAATCGCGCTGCCGAATAACTGGGAGCTGTCCCAGACCTTCGTCGGGGAGTGGGCGGTGGCCGCAGGATACGGCAAGACCAGTGACAGTAAGTTTAAAGTAACTCTATGATATTGAACACGTTTTCCTAATAATTCATTTTGAACTTCAAGCCTCTACTAATTTGTGACAAATTGAAGTGACCTTCTTCAAGTTATTATATCTATCTTTAATCGTGTGTATCGTTGATGATCTAAATAAATGAACATAAAAAGTGCCATCGACCGTACTCAGCTAAACGGAGTAACCACCAACCAAAATTTTTTATAAACACCAAAACAAAAGTAAAACATAAGATACCTACCTATACCACTTCTTCCCATTAAAGTTCCCCCTTGAGCTTGACTACCCTTAGGTATTTAAAGACTTCCTGTTCCTTTACGATTGCTCATGGAGAATAGTGGCATACTTTAAATACTTAACCAAAAATCTCCATTCTCCACTTAGTTACCATTGACTAATAACTGCAGGTCAGGTGGGCGCATCCGCGGTGGTCAGCCACGTCAGCCTGCAGGTGATCACGGTGCAGGCGTGCCGTAACGTTTTCGGATCCACCTTCGTCTTCGATAGCACCCTCTGCACCAGCGGCGCTGGTTTCGTCGGCGTCTGTGGTGGAGACTCCGGTGGACCTCTGTTCGTGGAGAGGAGTGGGCAGAAACTTTTGGTAAGTTTTGAGAGAACCAAATAAAAACTATCTCCTAGGAACAGGGCCAGTGATACTCTTGTGTCTTGGATCTTGGTTCTGCAACGTCCAGTAAAGATCTTTAATAAGTCCAGTAGGAGTAATTTATGAGGAACATTGAGGCTAGGTCCCAAAATTATTTTTGCACGAACTTCTGCATTGCGGTAAAAAATCAAAGTCATACATTTACTTAAAATCTTGGGATGATTTGGTACAGCGACTGCTGTGATTTTGGTCCGCTACAGAAAAAAAGGAACATCAAACTTGTGTATAATCCAAAACAAATTAAAATTTCGATTGTAATTATAGAAATAAAACATACCTACGTACCTATAAAGCCGCGTTATATCTACATGATTAATTATATAGACTTTTATCATTATCGCACGATTAGACGCCTGCTTGATTAGCATTGTTTTGTTTGAATCCAAAACTAATTTTATATCCACAGATCGGCATCAGCTCGTTCGTAGCTGCCAACAACTGCCAGGGCGGTCACCCATCCGCTTTCGCGCGCGTCACCAGCTTCATCAACTTCATACGTCAGCACATGTAGTAATAGAACAAGAGAAGTCAAAAGATATCCCAAAACCACCTCTATGTTTTGTAGACATCTGACAAAATATCCACCTGTATTGAAAATTGTAAATATAAGTTAGGCCAATAATAAATTATACGTTTTTGTTTTGAAATTATTTTTTCATTTGTTTTTTATCTCTACCATAGCAAATGCACAGTACCTACTTACTACACTATAGGCACCCAACCCATCCAAAGCTAATAACATGGATGAATCGTATAACATTGGTAAAATTTAGTTATTTAAAAAGATGGAAATAGAAGTTAGATATCAGTTAGATTTTGCCTTTGAAGTGAGGTTCTAAAAACTGTTATAATAAATTAATTTCAAATAATACTGAACTGACGCGTGAAGTTAGTAAGTTACGATATTAATCAAAAGATATCGAATGATTGGAAATTTGATTTGGGATTTCCGTTTTAAATATCTAGTAGCCTAGGAAATTCCTAATCGAATAAAAGATAAGGCCTAATTTATAAAAAGGAGTTCCGCTAATTGTTACTCTAATTTGATACGGTTTTGGTCAAAATGCGTTCGATTTTCGTGGTGGTTGCGTTAGTGGCGTCAGTGGTGGGTTCCGTGGAGGTGTTCGGCCCTCGTGGGTACCATGCAGAGGTCGGAATCCCTCTGGCGAAGGAGCTGAAGGCGGCTGAGGAGCAGAGGATCGCGAGCATGGCGCGGCTGGCTGGAACAATGGATGAAAAAGTCGTCGGCGGTGTCGCTGCACCCCTTCATGCTCACCCCTACCTGGTAACTTGAACTTATAAATAAATCATTATGTAGGTTGGTACTTACCTACAGGTAATCTTGAAAACAAACAAAGCCGAATAACATGACGGATCTGTAATTCTAATTAATCTTTCGAAGGGTGGCTTGCTGATCCATTTCTGGAACACCCTTGACCAATCAGTCTGCGGCTCATCTCTAGTGTCTGCCAACCGGCTGGTGACCGCCGCCCACTGCTGGACCGACGGCTTCATCACCGGCAGAATGCTCACAGTCGTGCTGGGCAGCGAGGAACTCTGGGACGGAGGCCTGCGCATCTCTACATCAGTTGTCGTCACCCACCCCCAGTGGAACCCTTGGAACTACTCCAATGATGTTGCCGTGATCTACCTGCCATGGTCGATTTCCTTTTCGAGTGAGTGTTTCTAAAGACTAATATCATAATTACAACAATTTCACACCCATATGGTTACTAGATACATAGACAGATCGAGGTCATGTGAGATGTTCAGATTTAAGTGGAAGTTTTAATATTGAGTCGCAACGCCACTTTACATACAATAAATTGTTTTACTAGATGTTATCCAGCCAATTTCGCTGCCCAGCGACTGGGAGCTGCACCTGACCTTCGAGCATGAGTGGGCTATTGCTGCAGGATACGGGAAGACCAGTGACAGTAAGTGTACATTTGTACATACATCATCTTAAACTAAACCTTACTATATTAATTAGAATACACCGTCGATTTTTCAATACTCACATGTATTTCTTGCGCCATTGTGCATGGACCAAAACTCGATCATATTGTCCAGGTCACTGCTGGCTTCTGGAAATGATGCTGGGAAATGGGAAATGGGCGCTAATTCTTATTCATACATTATGTACCTATATCCACAGGTCAAGTTGGCGCCTCGAATGTGGTCCACCACGTCAACCTGTGGGTGATCACGGAGGCGGCCTGCCGCCACGTGTACGGTGAAGAATACATATTCTCCAGTACCTTGTGCACCAGCGGCTTTGGCTTCGTCGGCGTCTGTGGCGGGGACTCCGGAGGACCCCTATTTGTGCAGAGGAACGGGCAAAGAGTCTTGGTAAGCAGCTCGGTAGCATTTACATCAATTCAAAAATTCTGCGGATCAAAAGTGATATAAAACAATAAAATTAAATATAATCGATGTTGACTGAAAGACAGATAGGTACCCCTAATTGACATTTCATTTATGATAAACCAATCTAGTCCAGTAGAGACGTCAAAGTTTCAACTCACAATCCAGTCTCGTAAAACGTCGAGGGTCAGGATACAAAACCTTTGCAAAAAACTTGTCTGGACTCTGGGTACCCGTGTCATGATAATATGTATGTGTAAGTACCTATTAGGGGACTAACTTTATGGTTAACGTTGTAAATAAAAAGGTTTGAAAAAGCCAATCACTTATGAGTTAAATGTTATGTCCACAGATCGGCATCAGCTCCTTCGTGGCCAAGGACAACTGCCAGGGCGGCCACCCATCCGCCTACGCGCGCGTCACCAGCTTCATCCCCTTCATCCGACAGCACATGTGGTGAACGGATCTGACAACCAGCAATAAAAGCTAATAAAATGGATATGCCAAAATACTTTTTACTTTTTGCAACCAACAGCAGTTAGGTAGTAACTGCATGTCACTGTCCCTATGTGTGCTTTCGGTATGATATTGATTTCAGTCAGCGCCATCTGCTTTGGAGAACACAATTAAATTATTGAAATAAATATGTTTTTTTTTCTCTAACTAAGTAATACCTAAATATAGAAATTATGTTACTTACTCATATTTTATAAGGACAAGGAGAGAAATACTAAAACCAATTGAAATGTGGGAAGATAAATTCAATTCCCAAAAATTTAATCCCAACTAATATTATAAATGCGAAAGTAACTCTGTCTGTCTGTCTGTCTGTCTGTCTGTTACGCTTTCCCGCTTAAACCTCGCAACCGATTTTGATGAAATTTGGCATAGAGATAGTTTGAGTCCCGGGAAAGAACATAGGATAGTTTTTATCCCGGTTTTTGAAACAGGGACGCGCGCGATAAAGTTTTTCTGTGACAGACAAAATTCCACGCGGGCGAAGCCGCGGGCGGAAAGCTAGTAATGAATAATGCAGAGTATTTTGATTGTGCTTTCCAGGCATAGCTGGGCACCGTTAATCAAATAGTTAACTTCGTTAATCGTTAAACCGTTAATAAAAAAATTAACTTCGTTAAACGTTAAAACGTTATTTTTCGCAAGACTTAACGCAAGTTAACGTTAATCGTTAATCCGTTAACACATGATAATAAAACGAAAAAAATAATTGTAAGTATGCAAGGTTCAAATAATTTCGTAAGCTTGTATCGCGCATGGAATTTATTCCTCTTTTAAGTTTGCGCTACAAGCTTTCGAAATTATTTGAACCTTGTTTAAGTACAATTATATTTTTCGTTTTAGTACAACTGCATTTCAAAATAAAAGCTTGTTTTAAAAAAAGTTCTATTTTATTATAATTTTATTTTACACTTTTTAGGGTTCCGTAGTCCTGACAAGGAAGTAAGGAACCCTTATAGTTTCGATATGTCTGTCTGTTTGTCTGTCCGAGGTTTTGCTTGGAAACTATTGGCACTAGAGAGCTGTAATTTTGTGGAGGTATGTATATTAATCACGCCGACAAAACATGTAAAGTGGGGATGATTTTTTTTTTCATCTTCTACCACATCGTGTGGGGTATCGTTGGATAGGTCTTTTGAAATGGATTAGATTAGATTTTTCGATTTAGGGATCTGTTTGCAAATTATTAAAGTTTAAAGTGCCTATTTTTGTTCGAGTAGGGCGTCCCCCCCCCCCTCTAAAAACTAAACTGTTGGCTTGAAAAATCTGGAAAAATTTGTAATATAACTGCTTTTTATGAACTTTCAAGGAAAACTATAACGGTTAAGAGACATCAGTTCGTTTAAAAGTAATAGTCATTATTGACTCATGTATTATAAAATTTCTTAATCAGTAAAAAATCCTTAGAAGAAAATATGAAAGTGACTTTAGTTAGATGAAGTAATTGATTGCTTCTGAAATATATTGTGGTAACGACGGACAACTACGGAACCCTACACTGCGCGTGGCACGACACGCACTTGGACAATTTAGCACCAAAGTGCTCGAAAAGACAAATCCAACAAACCCAAACTCGATAAGTTTTCACCGTTTCGTTAAGGAATTCCTATAGCCACTTCCTGACTCCATCATCAGAACCCTGGACATCATCTAGTACTAAAGTGCTCGAAAAGACAAATCCAAATCCAATGAACCCAAATTTGATGCGATTCCGCCATTTCATTTAGGAGTTCCTATGGCCACCTCCTGACTCCACCATCAGACTAGCTCAATGGTACCATAACATTGCATTGTCATTGTATTTACATAAGTATATACCAAATTTCAGCTCAATCTGTTGAGAAAAACTGGTCTTAAATTCAGTTGCAAGATTTGTCCCACAAGTGAAGTCAATATAATAAGCTTGTAAATAAATAAATAAAAAATAGAATTTTCTTATATCGTTATACATATATCGTTTCGTTAGTGATATGGTTACAAAAACTGTTGTTTTGGCTTCTGGAAGTTCTGGAAGCCCGAACGTACTTGTCAGAACATATTTTCTAGCGTTTTTCAGCGTGCCTGCTGTATCTTTTTGGTAAATAGTAGGTACTGGATTAACGATTAACGGACTTAGGATAATTTAACGGAAGTTAACGAGTCCGTTAACATTTTTCAAAGTTAACTTAAAAGTTAATCCGTTACTAGAAATGTTAACTTCGTTAATTAACGAGTTAATGCCCAGCTATGTTTCCAGGGTAGCGTATTCGGACCACTTTTAATTTTTCTACAGGATTAGTGGGTAACACAGTTTATAATTAATGTGTAGTTCACAGAAACTTTCTTCATAATCGAAATAATTAATATGGATGCGCCATTTGTATCACAAGAATTTACGTAATAAATTAAGCTCGATTGTCATTCGATTAGGTCTTTCCGATTCTTCGGATTATCACTGCTAGGAAATAGCTAATCGCATCGAATAATGATGATAAGGCCTAATTATATAAAAGGGTGATCACCTAATTGTATAAGTACAATAGTGGTGACAGTCCCAATAATGCGTTTGGTTTTCGTGATAGTTGCGTTGGTGTCGTCTGTGGTGGGTTCCGTGGAGGTGTTCGGACCTCGCGGGTACCATGAGGAGGTCGGCATCCCTCTGGCGAAGGAACTAAAGGCAGCTGAGGAGCATAATGTGGCGAGCATAGCGCGACTGGCTAACGAGTTTGAAGACAGAGTTGTCGGTGGAGTTGCAGCACCTATTGCTGCTCACCCCTATTTGGTAAATTGAAATTGATTAAAGTTATGGTAGTAGTTACCTATTTGAAAATTTGGTGATAGTGATTGTGTGTGAAGTTTTAACTCTGAAACCACATGGAATGTCGCATCTAGTATTATGAAAATTATGTTTTTCCGAGGGCCTTCTTTCTTGGGCCTTGGGTAGATACTTTACTTTAAACCAGTGTTCCGCAAAATTTTCGTGTTCAATGTACATAATAATATCTAGGAAAACAAAATTTTTTGGAAGTACACCACACATGAAAAATTTTAAGTGATTTACCTTTAATACTCTTTTCCGAGGCACAGCATTCAATGACCACGGTACACCAGTGTGCCACGGTAGGTACACCGTTTTGCGGAACACTGCTTTAAACTTTACCCTGTTTTTTGGACTCGAAAAGTATACATTTTAAAAATTATTTACTCTTATCGTCTATTTATATTTCCGAAAGTTCTATAAAATCTTTTAGTAGCAAAGATGCTTACTTACCTATTTACTATCACTCCAAGGGCGGCTTAGTGATCAGCTTCTTCAACATCGCCGGCAACTCGGTATGCGGCTCCTCCCTGGTGTCAGCCACCCGCCTGGTGACCGCCGCCCACTGCTGGTTCGACGGCGTCAACCAGGCCAACCTGTTCACTGTCGTCCTGGGCACCAACTTCATCTGGTCTGGTGGCCTTCGCATCTCTACGTCGAACGTCTTCATGCACCCCCAGTGGACCCCATCGAACTTATCCAATGACATCGCTGTGATCTACCTGCCCTGGGCTATATCTTTTTCGAGTAAGTGCTGGTTATCCATTTTACAACTTAAGTACACACACCGGCAGATTTAGCGGAACGCAAAAAAAAGAATGAAAATAAGGAAAATTACTACTGATCTATGAAATATTTATTATACAAAATAAAGAGATAATTAAAATAAAATAAAATAACATAGATTTTTTAAATATTTAGTCGTTTTTATTTAATAAAAAATCATCGAAACGAAATTTCAATTTTTCAGTTTTGAACAAAAATTAGAAATTGTGGCCAGATTAAAAATTAGGGTAGCTTATCACTAACCAAATGAATTAATTAATGATGGGTATTTCCCCCTCTTGCTCTGATGATGGTTTCCATTCATCTGAGCATGCTGCAGTTAATGTTATGAAGGGTATTTTGGGGCAATGTCTGCCATTCCTCTAGTAACGCGTTTCTCAACACCACCGGTGGTATTCTGAGTTTAACACATCTTTTAAGAAAGTCCAAGACATGCTCTATAGGATTCTTGTCTAGGGATCTTGCCAGCCACTGCATCATGGGTATATCCAAATGGTTTAGATGTGCCTGTACTGAGCGAGCACTGTGAAAACGAACATTATCGTGAATTAAACTAAAGGAGTCCACAATAAATGGAGTAAATGGCACATCATGTTCTTCTAAAATGTTCCTAGTGTACCATTCAGAAGTCGTATTTCCTCCATCACCCACCACTAACTCCGTGCGAGCTCCCAAACAAATCCTTCCCCACACCAGAATTAAGCTACCTCCATAAACCACGATATTTTCAAAATGAAGACTAAATGTTACGTTCTCTTTGTGTCTCCATATTCGCTATCTTCCATCGATCTGGTTTAAGAGAACTCTGCACTCATAAGTGAAGAGATCATGCCTCCAGTCGTTCAAGACCCAATCACGATATTCACGTGAAAAGTTCAATATGTTTTTTCGGTGCTGTGTCACAAGTTGGAGCTTTCTCGGGTATGCACGACCCTATACCAACTTCAGTAAATCTCCTGTGAACTGTGGGCTCAGTCACTCTTACTCCTCGAGTGTCTTTAAGGTTATTTCTGGCTTGAACAGCAGGTAACCGCGACTTTCTGAAAACTCGAAGTTGTAAAAAACGGTCATCCCGTCGCGAAGTACGCCTTTTTCTGACTTGAACCCTCCTCCTAACGACAGAAATGATCAATCTGTACCGTTGGTTACTGCCATGGGTGGTCGATACTGATCAACGACGTCTTACGGCAGCCGATTTGTATGCATGGCCGTTACTTCTCATATCATCTGCCTTAATGATTTCTGACGGTGCTAAGCTGGGCATAATAAACCCTTATAAGTAACTGAATGCTTACACAACAAAATTCTCAGAAAAAAAACATCTTTCACGTAAAAGAAATCCAAATTAGCAAAAGCTTCATTCAATTCAAAACACTCAACGAAACTGTTGATGGGGTAATTTAAACAAAATAATTAAAAAAATATACTGTTGGCAATTAGTTTTTTCATATTTAGAATTAAATTAAAAAATAATATCATAATTAGGCATTTTTTTCCTAAAATAATGATGATATTGATGCTTTTTTTTCCGTTCCTCTAAATCTGCCGGTGTGTGTAGGTACGTTTTTGTATTCTGCGAATATACTCGTATTCAATTATCACAATTTATTGATAAAACAGTTTATCATTCTTAAGCAAAACATCAAGCCAGCACTGTTTTAAGTCTGTTTTACAAATTAAATTCTAGACGTCATCCAGCCGATTGCGCTGCCCAGCAGTTGGGACCTGCACCAGACCTTTGAGGGACAATGGGCTGTGGCCGCTGGATTTGGAAAGACCACCGACAGTAAGTCTGCACTGAAATGATCATTGCAATGTCAACAACCTTTATCTCGATCTCATCGTAACTTTACTGCGACCAGGATGAATAGCTTAGCAAGCATAACACCAATACCTACAACCTTAATAAACTAAGAATTGAGTCATATCTCGGTAGGAAAGTTTAACTGCCTTAAAATATACGAGGAATATGCAAACAGATCTAGTCTAAAGGTACAACTACAACTAAAGCAGGTAAAACTGAAAAGCTATTTGTGGTGTAATTTGTAACAGTATTTCATTTTACTAAGATATCCAACTCCCCATTACGGTTTTGGTCAGGGAACCGTTTCCTAAAATCAGTAAATTCTTACCGCTCTTAATATTCCTATATCCACAGGTCAAGTGGGCCCCTCAGCACAAATCAACCAAGTGAACCTGCAGGTGATCTCCGAACAAGCCTGCCGTAACGTGTACGGCGCGAACTTCGTATTCCCGAGCACCCTCTGCACCAGCGGACTCGGCTTCGTCGGCGTCTGCAGCGGTGACTCCGGTGGACCTCTCTTCGTGACGAGGAATGGCCAAAGAACGCTGGTAAGTGTCAGTGACAATGACATTGATAAAGATCATCTTGATTAGACATTGATAGGTCTCAGGTTCTCATTTTTGGTTTAACCTTTGCTGGACAAAAGAAATCTTCCAAAGATTTCCACAACGAACGATCCTCGCAAATTCCCCACGATTTTCATTTCATCGTCGATCGGGAGCCTTCCCACTACATTTTCAGGCCCGTCATCCGTTCAGTTGGTCATCAAATCTTTCACATTAAGTACACAGTAAAAATATACGCAGCTCAACGTAATTATTTTCTAACATCGATAAAACAAATATACCTATCAACAGTGTAATACTGGTAATACATTCATACTATATATGTTTAACGTAATAATTATGATAAGTTATCACGATAAGATAAAGATTTAATTGCTGAAATTTTCTAAAACCCGCAGATCGGCGTGAGCTCGTTCGTAGCCTCTAACAACTGCCAGGGCGGCCACCCATCTGCCTTCGCTCGCGTCACCAGCTTCGTCAACTTCATCCAGCAGCACATGTGGTGAAATGGATCTGCCAACCAGTAACAAGAAAACTAAAAACTTAACTAATGAAATCAAAATTAGAGTTGATGAATAAAAATGTTAATTAATTTGTTTGCAACATGGAAACTTGCTAGTCCGTATGGCTGAATTTAACTGATTTGGAACAATGTAAATATGCGTCAATTATAAAATTACTGAACGAATTATATGATCGTAAAACATCTGTGTTTTTATTGTCTTATATTCAATTAATTTCACTGTTCACTGCATAAACAAACATCTATACAATACTCCATTTAGAACCCAATGGTCTGTACTGTTTATTGCGGCAATATTTACTTTACCATTGATAACAGTGTGAGTTGAATTACTCATCAATGAAAGTAATTTTTATTTGTAATACCTATCCGTAAGTATCTCTGACGATAGATGTACAAATTTTATCAATTTCGAGTTCGATAGCATCAATCTTATCAAATACCAAGATAAGGAACTCTCACTAGCACATTTCTACAACCATCTTCTCAGGAGATACTCTTAAAATGTTGGGGAAAATTATATTTCTGATACTGCCAGTGGTTTTGAGTGCGACGAAGTTCTGTGCAGATGAATCTTGTGGTAGCAGTAGCCAGAGGATAGGTGCTGGAGTGATCACAGAGCGGAACTCCCGACCTTTTCAAGTAAGACGGTGTATTTATTTCACTAGGTTTTTAGACATTGTGGACCTGCATATATTTATAATCTTCCTAAGTACTTACTCGTGCCTGCCTAAAGAAGAGTCCTCACATAGGTGGCGCTGTATTCGAGGGTGGGAACGACAGGCGAGCTGGGGTTCTGCGGGGGCGCGCTCATCGACCAGCAATGGGTGCTCACCGCCGCCCACTGCTGCTTCCACGGTGGACAGCAGGTTGACAATGTACAGGTAAGGCATAGCAATAAACACTATTGCTATCTGATACCTTCCTTTATTCCCTACTCTAGTCTTCGGTACAGACTAACAAGCTTTTCAAATCTTCAATACGCCATTGGGCCATTGCCAGTGGCAATTTGCCACTCGCTATAGCGTTCTATGGGGAGACCAAAGTAGTACAACAGCTACAAGAAATACAAAGCGTCGCTTTTAATTATTATCTATCTAGCCACAAGCAAACAGAAAAATAAAAATACTACTACTTTGTAACGTAAATACCTAGGTACCTCTGTGTCGTAGGTCGTAGGTAGCAATGTCAGATTTATGACCAGTTGTAGTAACTAACTTCTGTTTTGGACTGGATACTAATACTCAGCTAAATACCTTTCCAGGCTATCCTCGGCGGACACTCATTGTACGACCGGTACGAGAATGGCCGACGGGTGGTGAACGTAGACTCCATCACCATACACCCTGACTGGGACCCGGACACCTTCGCCCATGACCTGGCGCTGCTGCATCTTGCCAACACCGTGCAGATCACTGGTAAGTTGCTCCAGCTCTTGCGACGTCCACTTTTCTTCAGTAAGTCTTTCGTGATATTCGTAGTAGGTATCACCAGTATCACACTTTTCTGCGGCTAGAGGATTAAACGTAGGTACGAAATCTGTGGAAAAAAGTGCGTTTGATTCTTACGCCTGTATTCACAAACATTACTATGAGGCTCACTCACTTGACTCACAGTGCTTCACATAAGCAAGCATCGTTTCTGAATACGGGCGTTAGTCAGGCGACACATCAGTTCCCCCTACCTACACAAAGCATTAGGTACTTACTTACCTAACTGCTTCTCTTCAGATTCCATTTCGTAGTTAATCGTTGCAATCAAAATCATATTTTTGTAGATGACTCTTGACTTTACAGATATGATTGATGTTGTGCGTCTCCCATACGGCACCATGATAGCAGCCAACTTCGCTGGACAGGGGGCGACGGCTTCTGGGTGGGGTATCGCTGCTGAAGGTAAGTAAGACCTATAAGTAGCTGTTATAGGTCTAACTTAAGAAAATAAATACTTACTTACAACAAAAGTAGACAACAAAGACTCATAAATAAATATCACCTTATCAAAGGATGTAAAAAATCACGACAGTTGTTACGATTAGTGCGATACTTTGCCTAATCGTAAGTTTTGTCTTAGATAACAATAGTAATGCCGTAATCATTATTTATAGTAGCTACAGTGTGCTGTGATTTATTACCTATACAAAGTTTAAACCGAAAACCTGATGATCGAAACGAATGACATGATTTCGGCTAGTTATGGTCATACCAGCAAGGGGAGAATGTTACTTTGAATGTTACTGGTTACGAACCGCAACCACTTGGCTGACTGTCGGTACAATTCTAGGCCCAAATAATGTATAGTAGGCCATCTGCTTCAGTCTATGCTTTCTTCCAGGCGTTACCTTCATATCCCCCACGCTCCGACAATTCTTCATGACGGTGATGACGGACACACTATGCAACTCTTTGTACGCAAACATGCTGCCACCCAACACTGTTTGTGGGTTCTCTGTTACTTCTGGCACGTGCAAGGTAGGTTATAGAACAAGGAATCAAGTAATAAAACACTTTTTGAAGTCATTTGCAAGAAAAACAACTTACAAAATACTTTAAACTCGCATCTAATTCGGGATAGTCTCAACACCAAGCTTTCGTTTTTTAGTGCTCTTTGAGTCCAAGAGTAAACTGCAATAAGCTGATATATTGAATTTTTACACAACAAAGCAGTTCCAGACAAGATTCGTGTTCAAAAGAAGTTTAAAAAATAATGTTAACTTACTTCCATTTTAATTTCAGGGTGATAATGGCGGCCCTTTGACAATTTTCAACAATGCTACCGAAGAAACGATTCTGGTAAGATCACCTATAATTTTTAGTTCCTTCTATAAGTAGGTAATTCTAGTTAAATTAAACCTGTCTAGATTTCAAATATTCAACAAGCTTGCATGCAATACCTAAACTATTACCTGATTACTTAGTCAGGTACGAGTAAAAAGGTAACTTAAAAATATCTTACCTACATATGTTTTTTCTTATTATTTTCCAGATTGGGATTACGTCGTTCATTGACCTTAGCGGGTGCAACGTCGGCGTGCCCTCGGTTTTCACGCGGGTGCAGATGCATCTGAACTGGATAAACGAGGTCACTGGAGTACCTTTGTAAAAGACTCTCTGCGTCAGCGACCAAATACGACGTTGCTTCGTGAAGCGACTATTGACACTTTAAGACTGGGTTGCACCGTTCGCGCTAAGTTTGCCGGTCTGTGGAATGCGCGTCCCTTCCCCAACCGCGATTAAACGCAATTAATGTGTCTTATTTTACACAAATACACAATTTTTATCAATAATAATAAATAAAAGGTAATTTAAAATTAGTTTGATAAAGTCATAGACGCTTCCCTTCGAGTGACGTCATATCGCCAGCGGCAAACTTAAAGCGAACGGATAGCTACAGGTTTATACGAAACCCTCGGTGCGCGAATCCGCCTCACACTTGGCCGGTTTTGTTTTATTATGTTATTGTTCATTTATCCAGTTTGTGGTGTAATCTTGTTGGTGATACTTTTAAATAAAATTAAAAAAAATTGAATGAATGCCGTATTTTTGTTTATAATATCACTGTGCCTTAACCCTTATTCAAATGCGAGCTGGTATGCATTTTTTTTACAAAGTTGAAGTGGATTTTGGGTAATTGGGGGTCACTTATTTCATATTTTTGATCAAAATTTATAAAAAAATAGGGGAAGGGGTAGTTTTTTGGGTGGTAAATAATTTACCATTATCCATTCATGACTACAAATTATTAAATGTTGGTGGTAAAATAGTTACCATTGTCCGTTTTGGTTTATTTTTGGTTCTTGACTAGTGACTTCCTCTTGGTTCTACCTATATTTTATTTAATATTTTGGAAAGAAATAAATTGATTGTTTTTATAAAAAAAAATGTTTATTAATATTAGTTATTATGCTTACAATTATTATGCTAACTTTGAGTCTGAAACATACAATTCACTAATTACGTAACGTCAAAACGTTACGTAAATAGTTATCAAAATAACTTAACATTTCTCCAAATATTTATTTAGTTTTATTTGTGCACATACAAAAAACAACAGTTTTTTTTATATATCATCAAACTTTTGTCAAGACGGGATCGGACAATGGTAAACTATTTACCACTTCTTTAAAATGTCTAAATTATATGAATAAATCAATTGCAGACGCTGCCAATAAGTGAGATTATATAATAAATGTTATAGTTTAGGAATTTGAATCGAAAAAACACTTATCAGAATTTTCGTTGAACAAAGTTTGAAAAATACCAAAAACGCGCGCTAAAAACTTAAAATTTTTCACACCAAAACCGTTTGGTTGACTTTGACATTACCTGACAGTGACAAATGACGTTAAAAAATTGTAAGATGGCATAGATAAGTAAAAAAATATATTTAAAAATATAAATAAGTGACCACGATATCTTTTATTATTACCATAACGGAAATTAGGATCCTTTTTTAAAAGTAAACCAAGTGGTAATATATCTACCTTTATTTGAATAAGGGTTAACAGCCTCGACTTTTGAAAACAGTGAGATACCTATTTCTTTATGTTTTTAATCCTCAATTACCTTCTGTTTTGTGAAGATTTGTTAAGTACTTTTTATTTAGCACGGATGTGGATTTTGGTATTAAGCAAGTAATTGAAAAGACATATTATTTGAAAACATCTTTATTATATTTTCATCAAAAAAGTAAAATTTTAAAATAAAATATTTAAACACAGGTTTACATGCAACAGTGCGCGCGGTGCGGCCTCGCGTGACGTCAGAGGCCACACCGCGCGCGCTCATACAATCGTAACAGAACTAAAAATGTGTGATCGTAATATTAAATGTGAAATTTAGATAAGGATCGCTTAGAAACATTAACACTTTGTGAAACGTTGGCAGTAAAAATAATTATAATTTAAAATTATTAAATATAAAGACACGTTACTTTGTAGAAGCACTTACGAGGCGATCAAGCATACTTACAGTCCGACGCTAGTGGCGCCGGCGTTGCTGCATCTACACTACTCGCTCTTACGACTAAGAGTCTAAGAAGAAATGTCGGAATTATTAAATGCGATCAATACCAACAGCAACGCCGGAGCACGGGAAGAAGACACGATAATGGAAATTAACTCTAATACAATTACGTAGCTTACGTTATAACTGTGAACGTTACCGTACTGCTGACACAGCAAGCCGTCGAATAATAAAACATCGAACACCGGATAACTAATTAATAAATTGGATGTAAATGCGGTTACAATCCGTCGTCTTAGCTTATTATTATTGAAATATCAAATGAGATACTCAAATTCCGTCGAATTGATATTTGATTGGTCAAATAGTGCTTAGTAAACTTCAAGATCGAATTATTTTATTATTGTTATACGAATCGAACGACATACATTTCTAGTACTGAATTTATATTACACTAGCTCCATTTAATATATATAAATAATTAAAATATATATATAATATATTCTCAATCTGAATTTAAACACTAAAATCATCTATTCATAAATAGCGTCGCATTTAGAATTTAATAATATGTATTTCATTTAATAGTTTCATATTACAACAATTATACATATTCGGGGGTGGGATCATACATACTCGGTCGTGTATCTATAAATATTTAATCGCCGGTACCGTCACCGTACAACAAATACAGACGAAGGCAAACGATTCAAACACTCAGTTACCATACAGTCTTAAATAACGTATTTGTACGCAACAAAATAATAATAATAATAACATTTATAATTTTCGACAGTCGATAGGTGCCGCCGGTCGACATAATTTCGTCATTAGCAAAGCTTACAGCAGCAAGCGTCGTGAGAAATATGCTGCGTCCTTCGGGGCGCGTGTCTGACGTGCGCGCGACGCGCGCGTGACGCGCACTACACGCGGGCGAGGACGCGTGCGTAATGAGGAAACATGACGGCGTAGGGCGCGGTGGCAGCTCGTCTCCAACTCTCACGGTGTTTAGCTGCAGTTGGAAGAAATATCATGTTATATTTGAGAAATAAGAAACGGATGTAAAATTTATTTCACACACATTCGAATAGCCATAAAATCCCTGACCGATTCAAAAGGTGAATCAGCTCTAATGCAACATCTTTTTTATGAGACCAAAATCACAAACTCAAAAATTGAAATCAACTGTTTCCATCATAAGTGGGAAAACCAATATTTAAAATTAGTTTCGAGGTTAGTCCGATAGCAAAAGATATTATTATATTTTAAGCAACGGATTAACTTTTCGGATCAAACAGGGTTTTTTACAATAAGTAAAAGTCAAGTTTATCTTCGGATTAAGATAGAATATCAAAAATAAATAAACATCCGTAAAGTTGATAATTACACTGATTGTTAGTAAAACAAGATAATTGCAAGTGAATTAATTGTTAGTTTTTGTATGAAATATAATGATGTATGATTAATGGTATCATTGCAGTGCAATCTTGTATATCTAATGAATGTAGTGAGAAAAGCTATGAAATGTATAGTAAGCAACCCCCTATCGAAAACAGCAAAAGTTGAAACATTTCATTACAAAAAAAAAATTAATCTGATCAATGGCAATCTACCCTAACACATATAAATCTGAAGCCGATCACAAGACAGACTTAAGATGCATAATCCATAATGTTGTCACTCGAGAAGGTATGTAGAAATGTTTAATGTTGGATAGTCATAATTGGCCTACAAAATCTACTAAAAACATTGTTATAACAGATTGATATTGTGCTGTGTACTATCCTTAAATAAAATAAATAAATAAAAGTGACTTGATGTTTCAGTTCAACATGACATTATACCAAACCCAGTTGTCCAAAACAAAATAGACTTTAGGAAGTAATACCAAACCATGACGTCACGTTTAATATTTGATTTCGTCGCGATATTTTGTTGACGAATTGTAAATGATTAGTTGACTTATCAGTTTACGTGCGCTCATTGTTCATTTATCGTTTGTAATTCTATAATTATGGTTGGCACACGACATTGGTGATAACATATAATCAAGACAAATTAATTGTAGTTGCTAATAAATAACTTCATGAATAGTCGACACTTCATAACATATGGACAATGATGAACGAAAAATCCACACACCACATAGCCCAAAAGCTGACTAGTGAGTCATGAGGTGGTGGTACAAACATGCTCGCTAGGTGCTACGGCGCGAATATGAAGCTAATCGGTTTGACTGACTTCTTCTTGAGCGTGAAGAAGGAGCGGCGCTTGGGCTCGGCGTTGGCGGGCGCGAGTTTAAGAGCACTCAAACGATATGAGAAAAATGCTAATGGAAAATAAGGAACACCACAAAAATGAAAAGTGAGAAACGTTGAGAAATGGTAACGAAAAATCCACACACCACATAGCCCAAAAGCTGACTAGTGAGTCATGAGGTGGTGGTACAAACATGCTCGCTAGGTGCTACGGCGCGAATATGAAGCTAATCGGTTTGACTGACTTCTTCTTGAGCGTGAAGAAGGAGCGGCGCTTGGGCTCGGCGTTGGCGAGCACGAGTTTATGATTAGAGTGAATTTTGAAGCACTCAAACGATATGAGAAATGGGGAACAGAAAAATGTGAAATGAGAAACATAAAAATGTGAAATGAGAAACCGAAAACTGGGGAATAAGAATTCCAAAAATGGGAAATGAGAAACCGAAAACTGGGGAATAAGAATCCGAAAAATGGGAAATGAGAAAGCGAAAACTGGGAAACGAGAAACCGAAAAATGGGAAATGAGGAACCGACACATGGAAACAAAAAATTTACAAACAAGTCCTTATCCCTGCGTGAACACCACATAGCCCAGAAGCTGAACTGTGAGGTGGTGGGTACAAACATGCTACGGCGCGAATATGAAGCTAATCGGTTTGACTGACTTCTTCTTGAGCGTGAAGAAGGATCGGCGCTTGGGCTCAGCGTAGGCGGCCGCGGGAAAAATGGGATATGGGGAAGCAAAAAATAGGAAATGAGAAATGGGAAATGAAAAAGCGAAAAACGAGAAATGAGACCGAAAAACGAGAAATGAGACAGAAAAATGGGAAAGCGAAACAAAAAATTTACAAAATAAACCCTGCACACCACATAGCCCAGAAGCTGACTCATGAGGTGGTGGGTACAAACATGCTCGCTAGGTGCTACGGCGCGAATATGAAGCTAATCGGTTTGACTGACTTCTTCTTGAGCGTGAAGAAGGATCGGCGCTTGGGCTCTGCGTTGGCGGGCGCGGGCAGCGTGTGCGAGCGCGGCGCGGGCGCGGCGGTGCGCGCGCGCAGGCCCTCCAGCCACCACGCCATCTCTGTGTCGTCGTGCGCCTGCAGCAGGAACTCCGCGCCGCTGCTCAACCTGTAGAAAGATTCGAGGAATTAGTGTTAATTCACGTAGGATCGTTGAAATCAGTAAAGTCAATTTTATTGCTCGAAGTTCACCTGTGAGCCACGGGGCGTCCAACGTGAGTTTGAAAGACAGTTTTTGACTCGTACACGAAATTAGTGTAAGGAAATGAGTAGAATAGAACAGTTTCCACTTTTCCGTGGATATCGTACGAGACAATTGACCGGAATAAAAATGCGAATATCAGGCGTCTCCAACCAGTCCAGTCAGTCTGTGAAAGGTGGAGAAAATCCCCCATTTGTCTCTGGTAAATAAGAGGGTCGTCCTTTTGCAGTGAAGAGTAAATGACCTACTGACATACGCGTATACAGGGTGTCCTGTAATGTAACGTCAAGCCGGAACTGGGTGTTGAGGCAAGTTGTGCTGGTTATCAGAAAAATATAAAAAAAAATCTATGTGGCATATTTTAAAAATAATAGGCATTTAAAAAAAATCAAAAAATTCTACTCCAGGTGACGGTCCTTTTGCTCGTGTTGCCACAAATCTTCACTTTTTCCAAATTTTTTTTTGTTATGTAACCCTGAATAATGCTTCTCTAANTCGGATAATTTCGGTTACGGAATTATTAGAATTTCAAAAATGTAGGTATAATACAAATAGCAAGATGCTGCGTGAGCGTGACCCACATAGCTACTTTATGTACCAACTAAGACGACACCTATGTATGATAAAGGTAAAACAGGCTGGCATATTAGATGGTGCCAGCGAATGCCAGACAAGTTGGTAACAAATATTAAGATTTAAGGTACAATTCCAAGACGGGCCGCAGACCGCAAACTGCAACCGCAAACTGCAAAACTATGAAATCGGCAGCGCGGCATTGCAGCTGTGGCGTGTATACTGCAGATTTCATAGAGTTTTGCAGTTTGGCCTTTATCCGAAACTATCCGTAACTTTTGAATCAGTTTCGGTTACGGTTATGGATATTTTTTTATTTCGGATATCCGATAGTTTCGGTTACGGTTACGGATATCCATAACATCCCTGCTTGGTAAGATGGCCCTCTCCGTCCCGCTCATACCTTTTAAAATGGCTTCTCCACCTCACTTAAGCCAGAAACTTGAATTTTGGGCACATTAGAATAATATTTTTAACCAAGGTAGATAAAATTAAAAACGGGATTATTTCCAATAAACAAAAATTGTCGACAGTTACAGCAAGATTTTACAAAGTGTTATACCATTTTGGAATCCTTACTAAATGCGCCAAATTATGACGTCACTTGCCACACTCGCGTAGTACAATTTTTTTTTCAGTACAGTCAGTTTAAACTAGGCAAAATTTTTATTTTGATATTTTTTTTGGGAATAATGTATTTTTTTCATCCAAGTTGGAGCAGCTGGTTTTGTAATTTTGATAACAATTTAGAGAAGCATTATTCAGGGTTACATAACAAAAAAAAATTTGGAAAAAGTGAAGATTTGTGGCAACACGAGTAAAAGGACCGTCACCTGGAGTAGAATTTTTAGATTTTTTTAAAATGCCTATTATTTTTAAAATATGCCACATAGATTTTTTTTTATATTTTTCTGATAACCAGCACAACTTGCCTCAACACCCAGTTCCGGCTTGACGTTACATTACGGGACACCCTGTATATCGGGGAGGTCGGGTGGGCATGCCTCCCCCCAGAATGGTCTGGTGCTATACTAATCCTCCTTGGGTTTCTGAGTGCAGTTAAATACGATTAGTTAGCGCTAATATAACTTACACTCACGCCAAATAGACTACGCGGAATTACCACTATCTCACGTATTTAAGGTATTTGAGTTTTAATGATAGTTTTTGTGTTCTACGACAAATTAGCGTAAACAAATGAGTAGAGTAGACCCATCCTAACTCTTCTCGTAAATGTTATAAGAGGCGACCAATGAAAAAATATGCGAACATCAGGCCTCTTCAACCCATCTGGCCAACCTGAAAAAGGTGGATCAAATCCTCCATTTGTCTCAGGTAAATTAGAGTAGAGAGTACGTCATCTCCTTACAGTGGAGACTCAAAGACCTGCGTAGTGGTGGGTGGTGGTTTGGTGTAGACCAAATCCTCCCTTTTGCCTCGTTTAAATAGTCCTCCTGCATAGTAGTCTAAATGAGTTGATAAAGAATCACTAACCTGAGCCGGAACACGTGCTTCTTCTTGGTGTAGTTGGCGGCGACCTCGACGACGGCGCCGTTGAGGTCGAGCGGCGCCTCCCCGCGCCAGTGCTGGTCCGGCGCCGCCTTGTACGATTTCTGGTCCTTGAAGAACGACATGCGACCGTCCTTTGCCACCACGTACACTTTGTCCCATGATCTGGAGAAAGAAATAGACGGTTCTCGTGATTGGACAGTGACAGCAGAAACTTTATAAAAAACAGTCTCAAAATTAAAGTCTTATTTTTAGTATGACGAAGATTCTGACATGAATTAACTCTATACTTTCCCTTAACACTTTATAATACTTTAATCCTTCAAGCTCCGCGAATCTAGACACAATAGATAATCAATTGTTATGACATTAATTAATGCCGTCTGGGACTCAATCGGTTAAATGCAGTCAATAATTGAGATTAGGTAGGCACGTGGAAAAAATTACAAATATAACATGATGGCTGCAACAATATTTATTTAAGTAAATGATTATGTTTATCATCAGGTTTTTCAAAAGCTAATCCTAATGTAATATCAAAACAATCGTACACAAATAATTTATTTTATCATGTAAATGGATAATTATTCCATTAAGCTATCTAAAAACGCGTGTAGGAAATGAGTATCTTCGGACATATGTTACGATAGAACATCATATATACAATCCGATCGAGCTAGCTGAGCACCTCGCTGGAACTCTCCCTCACACTCACACACTGTCCCGCGTTCGCCCCTTCTGTACCAGAGCGTCGATGTGACGTCACGGCCGCCAGGTAGGCCGGGTTCCCACTATGCCGGACCGGCATTTCTGCCAGTAACCGGACACCGGACAAGGGTGTTCACATTACACCGGATCACCGGATCCGAAATCCGAGCCGAATGAAGTGCGGGGAGCACGGGCGGGGCGGGGTGGGCCGCAACTCGTTCACATTACTCCGGTCCGGTGATTTTGCCGGCATTTTGTAGCGACAAAACACTCGGTAAAAATGCCGGGCTGGGCGAAAAAGCCGGATCCGGGATAATGTGAACAGCTTCATACAATTTGTACCGCCGCTAGGCCTTCCGGCGATTTTACCGGACCGGGAGATCTGCCGGTCCGGCATAGTGGGAACCCGGCCGTACGCAGTTAGCTCGACCGGGTTGTAAAGACAGAATCGTGAGTTCTAAGTAAAATCAAACTACGTAAAAATATATCCATACCTGTTGGAGGCTCGCTTGGCGGCGGACTCCCACTCGTGCTTGCGTACCAGAGTGCCCTCCACACCCTCATCCTCTCCCGCGGGGCTAGCACCCTCTGTGCACCACAAAACTCGCGTTATAACACCACCCTACCCTCTTACATAGCAACACCATTCATTTTGCGCGCTCTTATAACAATGAGGGCTATCGTTTTAGCGCTCACCAGTTAGCGCCACTGTAGAGTAAGGTCCTGTCACTTGCTAGTAGCGAAGACAGTGGCACCAACTGGTGAGCGCGAAAGTGGTAGGAGGACTATCGCATTTGCACTCATCAAGATGGCGCCACTGTAGAGTAAGGTCCTGTCAATCGCCAGGGGTGCCAACTGTTAAGTAAAAAAACGATAGCCCTCATTAAATCACACTAAGGCTGGTTTTAGTATCACGCGGACTGTCAGTGCGGATCGCTCCGCACAGCCGATCTGTATGAACTGCTAGGGAGCGTTTTAGAGTAATGCGGTCCGGAGGGTCTGCACCGGACGGTCCGCGTGACACTAAAACCAGCCTAACACTACCAAAGTTACGTTTGATAAAGGTAAGTTGACGCTTTGAAATGAAGTTGCTATGTATTTATCCTTCTCATAATAAACATGTAAAGGACAGTGCCAATCCATGTATGGAAGTTGGACCAAGTGCTGCCCAGAATGAAACTATAGTGCATTTTGTTCCTCAGGCCAATACTAATTTGAAGTAATTTGTAAACCGGAGCGCACTGAAATCTATCCCTGGAGTTAAGAGAAAAAAAGAGTTTTGTTTGGAATTATTTACATACAAAATATCATCGATGTATACCTAATACGCATAAGATTTCGCGATTTTGGCATTAAATAACACTCGCTATGTTGAACTTAACCATACTGCATCCGTACACCTTACTTTAGTACGACTTCGACATTATTTATAAGCGATCAAGCGCTGTTGCAGTAGTTTGGTTAGTTGACCGAAATTAATTATTTCCAAAATGGAGCAAGAAGTTTTAGCTTACAATAACTTCAATAATCGATTGTAATACACCAATAAATTGATTTTTCGCAAGGATAGAGAACTAAAACTTCTTGCTTCATTTTGGAAATAATGATTTCTGTCAACTAACCAAACTATTGCAACAGCGCTAGATCGCTTATAAAGAATGTCTAAGTCGCACTAAAGTAAGGTGTACGGATGCAGTATGGTTAAGTTCAGCATAGCGAGTATTATATAATGCCAAAATCACGAAATCTTATGCGTAGTACGTATATATCTATGATATTTTGTAGGTAAATATTTCAAAACAAAACTCTTTTTTTCTCTTAACTCCAGGGATAGATTGCAGTGCGCTTCGGTTTACACATTAGTATTGGTCTGAGGAACAAAATGCACTATGGGTTGATTCTGGGCGGCACTTGGTCCAGACCCTGGCACTATCCTTTTTCATTCTAAATGAATACCTCTAGCATGCCTTAATGGCGACTTATAATCAAAAACTAGCCTATTTTGCTAATATCACGTGATAGGTTTGATACGTATCGTTGCCCTAGATCGTCTAATAAAAGCCACATGTTGGAGGGGGTATTTATTGAATAACAATCAAACGCAAATCTTTACGCATGCGCGCACAAAACACATCAGCACACTCAAAGCTAATTTGACAAAGTCAAGTGGCAGTTCTTTGGTAGTGGATGGCAGAGTTATTATAATCTGCATTGTGATCTCAAGAAATAGCTTTTTTTTAATCCACCCAAAACATTTTAAGTTTTTATATGGCAGAAAATGATTGCTCAAGTTTGTACCGAACTTCTCAGCATTTTGCAAATACTGTCCTACTCGTAAGTGTTGAAACAAAAATTAGAATTACACATCAATTTAATCTAAGATTTGCTTTTACGTGGGATACACCACGAAGCAGGATATTATAGGAATCATGTGATATGAAGTCTAAATCCTATTGAAATTTACTAGAATTATTTGCACTATATTCAATCCCCATCCCTACCCATGTTAGCTCAACAATCCACTACCACAGTTACCTTCGTCGTCGCTATGATGCGATCCGGCCAGTAGCTTCTTCGCAGTGCGCCACCGGAAGCTTCGGAACGGAGACTTGCTTCGGGACCGCGACTTCACCTTACCGGAGCTGGACGGAGTGGCCGGGGTCGAACTCGTCCCGGGCGCTGTTCGCGTGAGGACCGGGACACGTGCGTGATATGGATGTGGTGCGGGACAGGCGGGGATGTTACGTGATACGTGATAGATAACATACATACGGGATGGGTATAAACAAATAGTGAGTGCGTTATTTTAGTTTATAATAAGGATAAGGATGATCGCGGGGGAGAAAACAAAACAAAAAATAATTTCAAAGCAACACAAAAATCGCAGCGACTTACAAAAGCATTTTCTTTTTGTCATGCTTTCTTAAAAATCAATAAAAACGGTAAAGTAAAAACACAGGTGTTAATAAAGGGAAGTATCATGCACAAAGGGATACCAACATGTAACATACATAGTTAACACTACAATACTTATAACAAACAAGTGTTAAACAACTACTAAACTAATATCAGTTTCCAATCGTGATGCACATCCTTTTTTTAATATTTTACCATAGTTGATTATTTTAAAACCAATTTGAATTTTAGCACTCTTTAGCATTGACACAACACGACTAGTGTCAATATTACATAACTATCACAAGAGTAAATACAAATGAGTAGGTCATCTTCATAGAAACGCACCGGGCGCGGTTTGTATGTGAGCGCGCCAATACGTATACGGCGCGCACGCACACACTGTCAAAATTTAGCGTGGATTAGCAGGAAGCCAGTCGTGGTTACGCCGAATTTTGCCAGTGTGTGCGTGCGCGTCGCATACGTATATTGGCGCGCTCACATACAAACAGGGCTCGGTGCGTTTCTATGAAGATGACCTACTCATTTGTATTTACTCTGCTATCACGTCATATTACAGCACATGACGATTGGAACCAGACCACTACCATACTCACTGGTTAGACGTGCATACTCACTAGAGAGGCGTGCCGGTTTGGCTGGCGTCTGTTTCGACGTGGACGGGGCGGGGGTGGCCACTGGGACAGCCACGGGGGTGGCCAGTGGAGTGGCCGGGGTGGCCACGGGCACGGGGGCGGGGGCGGGACTACTGGCCTCTGCATGCGTACATCTACGTGCTAGTTACGTCTACACTACATGCTTGCAACTACGATACATGCGACCGTGCATCCGTACTACTTTTTACACGACGAGCACATGAAGAGTGATCATCACCGTTGTTTTTTAAGGTTTTTTAATACAGGAATACACATACACAGTTTTAGTACTACAGATCATGCTACTAATAGTTCAGTAATATTAGACCTACATTCGACAGTTTTATTATGCCTATAATAACACCCCATTAGAGTCTTGTATCTGTTTTTGAACGCCATATAACGGCAAATGTATTAGCACTTGATTTCATTATCCTTTTTTATATACGTTCATATTAAACCCATTGAAAAGCATAAAACAAAAGCATACATGAACATATTATAATTATGTGAACGGAACCCCATAAGTTGCAAGCTTTAGACAATGTATGGTTTCAATTACAATACAAGTATCAATACATATTAATAATTAAGAATCATTGAACCCACACACGTATCTAAATGATAAAAAGAAGCTATCAACAGCATGGTGCATACGATATAGAAAGCAAATAGAAAAAGCAAGTACAAGGGCAAGATACCTACCTTTATTGAAGACAGCTTCTTTATAGTATTAGAAGAACAATATACGGCACACTTTTATAAATATAATAGTTTAATAACTAGCGTGTATCAACATAATATTATTATTTAGAAAGACATAAGACTTATGGTACAGCTAAAATGATATAGAGTATCAAACCATCACCGTGATTAGAGCTAGACGACACATGTATAATAATACAATAGATATTATTAATAATTATAAAATAATCTAATGACTAATAGTTGAAAATGAACAACAAGTGTATGCACGTTTGAGCGTGAAATGAGTAGAAAATCGGAGTTCATAAGTTTAATAATTATTTGTTATAAAAAATATTGAACTCCGATTTTAGATGGGCTGAAGTAGTGTGATGACGTTGATGCGTGTATGGACAGTAGACCATCACCTAAGAAATAAAAATGGTATTGAAGACATTGAAATCGTGCAACAGAAAAACAGTGCTATAGTCCCAACTACGTTGATACGGAAATAAACCTACTAAACAAATCGTATACGTTCAATAACTCCGTGTTCACATCAACAAGCTTTTAGGCTAAAAAATTATTCACAATCTACCCCCAGAAGAGTGGAGTTACTATCGAGCGCAGTGTTCCGACTATATTAAATAGACCCATCAAACTACCGTGAAAGCTCATGCCAAGGCTTCGTTCACACTGTGACTCTTTCACCGCACCGATATTTAGCCGTACACGTTTTTTATCTTTAGTGACGTAATCAAGTGCGATTTTTTTGACATGAAACAAAACGTATCTTGTTCTAAATGTAGGCAAAATATCTCGCACGGTATACAAGCGTAGCGTGAACGGATCCTTATAGCTGGGTACTGAACGGTAGCTGTATGAAGCGCTCTGTTACCTGGCTGGGAATGCGGTCGCTCTTGGGCCTTCTCAGCCGCTTTAGTGGACGTTCTCCTTACGACTACGCGTGTGCATGTGTGGACAACACATCGGTAAGTAACGGACATTTGTGTCTCACACGCAACGCTCGGTCGGCGAATGAAACTACAAGTCGAACTGTACGAAGGCATTTTGACGTGTCCTAAACTTCATTTGTTATGTCCCTTTAAATTGAGATAATGATTTTATAGTTCAATATTTTTAAGTTCAGTTTAGGAAACGTTGGATAGGTATACCATGGTCTTAAGTTTCATTGGTCGACTGAGCAAGCGATAAAAATGGGGCACGGTATAAAATTCACACGGAAAGCGGCAAGCGATGCCGTATAAGCCGTCTTGGCTATCGCTGTGCGATGTGCGAAATCTTTCAACTGTCGTAATTCCGTCTGAAATCTCATCCTACCCTCAAGATCAGTGTTATTGCAGTATTGCAAGATTCGCAAGCAACATTCACCAGTTAACGGTGAAAGTTAGTGAATATCTCTGTCTCACTTTAAAGAACTTCGTTTTAGTGCTAATAGACAATACACATGCGTGCTTACATTGCAATCCGTGATTTGAAGTGATGTTAATTTAGAGAGAAATATTTTTACTCTGTGTTTTGATCGAAAATTGATCATGTTAATTTACTAAAGATATTTAGGATATTTATCAACAAATTAATCTTATATTCAGGTAAATCTTAATTAAGTGTCATTGTAAGTTGCTCAATGTGGGTGTCTATGACAATCGATATGTAAACGTAGTGCAATAAGTGTTTTAATGTTTGATGATAAATCCAAAATAAAAAGTGCTCTATCTATAATAGACAACTTATACATCAACCTTTTAGATATTATGTCACTCCGTCTACTTTTTTCAGTTACGAGGCCTTGCCAATCAGTCGATGGCTATACTTTTGTTTTCCCTTATCGTCAATAACGTCACATATCGATTACCAAAGACAGCTACCCGGTATCGTGTACCGAATAGAATTCACTCAATTCCAGACTCTCAGTATCTATCAATAGAGTTCTCATTGCTTTATAATTACCCTGCGGCTGCGGTTGTTCCTGCGGCGAGGCGGCGCGGTCGACGGCGTCTTGCGCGGCTGCGGCGGCGGCGGCGGCGGCCTCGGCTGCTTCCCGCTCGCGTTTCTCACGTTCAGCCGCTTCGGCAGCTTCTTGGCGTCTCTTCATCTCTTTCACTTCGAACTGTGAAGGTGGGCAAGTTAATAGTTGTGTGGTATGTTGGGGGTAAGGTGTGGCAAAGGCGAGGAAGCTGCGAGCTTTGGGCCAAGGCAGCTGACGCGAATCGGAATTAACTGTTACTAAAAATTTAGGATGGCAAAAGATTTGCTAAAGATAAATGTAGAGATTTTTTTTTATTTGGCTCGCAAAACTGGACACAAAACTAAATCAATCGATAATTTTAGTTTTAGTGGTCAGAAATATTTTATCATGCAATGGGCACATGCATTAGAAGTTATCTTTATTTAACATTCCGATGTCCACCTTAAAACTACTGAAAGCATTCTCAAGTGTCAAGCCTGCTTCAATTCATATCGAAGCTGCAAATAAAATGCGTTATAAAAGCTCATGCACTACACCAAACTACACTTACACCATCCAAGTAGTTAAAATACCATGCACCATCCGGGAAAAGAAGAGATCTGGTTTGGGAGAGGAGGAGCAAGGAGGAATTTAAAGGAATAGTTTTTACATCCTTTCCTAAATCATTAATAGTGTTCGTACTGCCGGTCAATGCGGGCATAGATAACACTGCCACTTCGCCTTTAGAGTCTGTATCAGAAGATTTACTTTTCCTTGACAGTCTATTAATTATTCGTTTTATACTGCCAGACTTCGAAGAGCTGTCGCTTCGCCGTCTGAGTAGAGAAACGTTGGGAAACACTAACTGGCTGGCTAACCTCTCCCAGAGAATGAAATTTATACACGCCAAGTGGTCATTCATTTGATTCGACAGATCTGTGCGGTCTGGATATTCAAAGAATACGGGACTGTATATTTCTGGCGACATTGGACTCATAAGCGGTGTCGAGGGAGGGGTGCTATTCTCTGATATCGTCGTTAAACTATTACGGGTAACAGCCGTCCATAGGTAAGAGTCATTCTTCTTGCAGTCCGAATAGTCTAGTTTGAGAGTTCTTTTATATTTTTCAGGTATTTTTATTTTGTCGCTGTTGACTACTAGATCTTGGACTACGTCGTGAACGGACCGTTTTTCAGTGACAATGGTGAGGGGTGTTAAGGGTATGTGGGAAGGGGGCGGGGGGTGGTAAGTGAAACTGATATCATCAGAGTTCTCCCAAGGCTGGGTACAAGGCCACAGCTTCGACTCACGAAGTTCAAGCTAGTTGTGAAAGAAGAATAAGAATGAAATAAAAACAACAAGCAAAAGTAAGAAGTGAAATAAAAATGTACAACTAAAACTTTGATTAAGAAGGTATTATGCAACTAAATGAAAATCAGTAAACCATCACCAATTTACCATGCAAGATATGATTGTACAGAATGCAATGTGTATTATACAACAAGTGACAGTAATCAATGAGGGCTATTATAATTGTTTTTATACTTCACAGTTGGCATAACTCATCCAGTGGGCCTTTTATGCGCCCCGCGATAAACGGTTATCACGTCAATTTATCGATTAGGCCCATACATTTTGACGTCGATAAAGTATATCACGGCGCGCATCCTAGCCGGTGATTGCTAAACGATAGCCCTCATTGACGATAATGTCAATACTAAACTCAAATGATACAACAGCCGGTTGAAAAGATGCTATAACTGTAGCGCCTGAGTTAGTGCCTGAGGTGTGGGAGCGGCACGGGAGGTTGGGAGGGTTTTTGTTACGTCAAATGTCAGCGAGACCGCATATTTTTATTCTTTGTCACGTCACGTTATAATACGTCAAAATCACCCCTCCCATACCTCAGGCACAGTCTCAGTTAAGTGCTATAGCTATAACAGTTCGTTCGTTTCAGCCGAAAGACGTCCACTGCTGGACAAAGGCCTCCCCCAAGGATTTCCACAAAGACCGGTCCTGCGCCGCTTGCATCCAGGTACCTCCCGCGACCTTCACCAGATCGTCGGTCCACCTAGTGAGAGGCCTGCCCACGCTACGTCTTCCAGCTCGTGGTCGCCACTCAAGAACTTTCCTGCCCCAGCGGCCATCAGCTCTTCGAGCTATGTGCCCCGCCCACTGCCACTTGATTTTAGCGATTCTGCTATAACAGTACTTTTGTGCAAATACAAAAATTAAATCCACCACCACCATCTGTAAGTTAGCACCCTAACTCACCGTGGTAAGTCTCTGTAGCGCGCTGAATCTGTCCTCCTGCGCCGCCGCGCTCTTTTCGAAAGCCTCGTGCTTCTTGATGAGGCTCTCCACCTCGTCGATGGTGTGGCCCAACTCTTGGGACATGAGGTACGGTTCTTGGGCGATCAGCCACGCTTCGGCCACGGCCGCGTCGCGGGCGAACTGGTATACTTCCAGGACTAAGGGAATTATGGTCAATTACGGTATTTATACTGCAGGCAGAGGTCATAACATATTTGTACGCCTAGGATGCGCGCCATGATTTTTTTTAAATCCCCAACGAGGAAGTTCTTGGCCTGAATCTCACCTGATGGTAAGTGATGATCAGGCCGAAGGTGAAAGCGAGCTTCACCCGGAATCCTCAACCACAGAGGAACTGGCTATCTTACCTCTAACTGCCGGAACACAACAATGCTGTTAACATAGTTGTTATGGCGACAGACTTAGGTAAGTAGAAGTACTTTATCGATTTTGCATGATAAGCCGGATACACTTTGTGGTCTAAGATCGTCAATAAGATTTTATCATGGCGCGCATCCTATCCCAACTGATCTGATTTGATACCTCTAAACAAAATTAAAAACGTGAACAGGTAGACAAGAATTATTCGTGATAGTTTTCGAATTCGCTTTACGGTGTGAAGTAACTTCGGAATTAATTCGTCGTTTTTGGGTTTTAAGTCCAAATATTATTTCCTTTTATCATTTCAGCGAGGCTATTGCTAGAAGTCGACCTCCACCATTAGACCAAGAAACAATAAAACTGGCAATGCCATCTAGCTATCAGGTGACCGTTAATCCATCGAGCATGTGGGCCATAAATTCTTAAATGAAGGCGTCATGGCAAACTTAGTGTTGTTCTACTTCTTCTTTCGTCGGTTCACCGAAAATGATAAATTAAATCAGTACAAATCAAAACTATTCGAAGGAGAAAACAGTGTGATAACTCACTGAGCTGCAAGTTCTCCCAGCGCTCCTCCCAGCGGCGCAGCAGTGCGTTCCTCTGGTTGGTGAGGAGCAGCAGTTTGTCCTTGATGTCTGCAGTCGCGTAGTGCTGTCTCGCCAATAGCTCCTTGCCGAGCGAGATGCAAGCCGTGAAGTTGTCTTCGCGCGTGTCGATCTCGGCCTTCAGCGATTGGTGGTTGTTCATTAGAAGCTCAACGCCGCTTACGTCTCTGTGGGAAAGATTAAGCGTTAAAGTTACGGAAAACTATTACTGTGGACTATTGAGTAAGTAACAACTATGTAATGAGACCTAAAAGATAATGTCGGAAAGAACAGGAATATTGTGGGAATTATTATTATACATTGACCCAAGAATGTATGATACGAAGCGTGCACGGTTATGACATATTTCACTACCGGACGCGCCCCGCATTAATTAAGTGGCAATACGAATAAACTTCCTAATAAATTACGTTGACTTAAATACCAAAATCCAACGACTTTTATGGTTTTGCTCTTTATAACCATCTTTAAAATACAAATTTAAGTTATCTTCATAGAGCCAGCTTGCGCTTAAGATTAGGCATCATCAGATATCATTCACTAGTGTCTCAATGACCTTAGGAACTTAACAAAGACATACCGTGGCTTCTCTCCGGTGTTCATCTGGCGGACCACATCGTCCATCCAGAGGGTAAGCGTGCGGACTTGGTTCAGGAACCGGTACAGGTCATCAGCGTCTTCAAGCTTGGCCTTCCTGGCGCGGCAGGCGGCCTGTAAGGCTGCCCAGGCGTCGGCGACCTCGCCGGCTCGTCGGGTGATCTCTGCGGCCTTGTCGCCCGCGTATGACGCGCCGAGGCGGCTGCATTCCGCTGTGATGGCTTCCACCTGCGTCAAAGTTACAGTTGTATTTTTTTTTAATGCAGTAGAACGCCGATTATCCGAATCGCCAATTATCCGAATCGATCCTAAGCGTAATATAAAAAAAAATGCCACCAAGTAATTTTTGATTTGTTTTGTTTTAAAAAGTTGGAACTCGCTGGATTCCAGATATTTTATATTTCAACTGAGCGTTATTGTAGAACTGTGTTTGTTAATTTAATCAAGGTTATTATATGTGTGACAATTCGTTTTTCTTTATTACCAGTCTATGACCGATTATCCGAATTTTCGATTATCCGAATCGACCCCGGTCCCAATTAATTCGGATAATCGGCGTTCTACTGTGCTTATATAGGGCTGTGTTCTGTGCCGGTCACTATAGTAGACCGTTCTGCTCCGCTAGACCAAGTAGCGTACATAAAAGAGTCGATCGACATTGCAAGCCTGCTCACATCGTTGCATACTCGTGGTGCATCAATCTCGTATGCAGCCTCGCAATGACATCGCTCACGCGCACGTCGCGAATTCTACGCGCGTCGAATCATACGCACTACGCCAGACTCACGACTCGCGCGCACTACGCGCGAGTTGAAATACTAAGGACCTCTGTGTTGCGTCAAGTAAACGCGCGAACGTGACGGCGAGTGCATTTAGGGATCATGGAGCGGCAAAATTTTGATACTGATTATTTTGCACTACTGAATCCCTCCCCAAACGCTTGCGTTTCGAATTACTTCTCTCTTTACATAATTATGCTCGTGTTCGCGCGAAAACATTCGCGGCGAATTCGCTCGTCGCTCGCTCCGTGCCTGCTGGGCAGCACGCGAGACTGGACCTTATGTCCTGGGGGTAGGGCACACAGCGGCTGTACCTGCTGCTGCAGCGTGCTGAGGTCCTGCATGAAGTTGTGGTGCTTGCGCTGCAGCGCGCCCACGCTGATGGCGTCGCGGCCAGCTCGTCGCTCGCTCCGTGCCTGCTGGGCAGCACGCGAGACTGGACCTTATGTCCGGGGGGTAGGGCACACAGCGGCTGTACCTGCTGCTGCAGCGTGCTGAGGTCCTGCATGAAGTTGTGGTGCTTGCGCTGCAGCGCGCCCACGCTGATGGCGTCGCGGCCCAGCTCGTCGCTCACTCCGCGGGCCTTCTCGTTGACGCGTTGTAGCGTGTCTTTGCAGTCGTGGAAGTATTTGTGAAGCTCGCGAGATGCCGCCAGCATCTGGGGAGTTAAGTAGATTATATTAATGATGACGAAGTAAAAAAAGAGCAATAACAACAGCATAAGCTCATAATAATATTTTAAATACGTATGTCAATTTCAAGTCTGCTAAAGAACTCGAGTTCTACCTAGGACAGTGATATGACTTCTAGTGATATCAATTTGTAACTGATCATCTGATTTAAAACGATACCCTTGGACGAACCGAGGATCAGACTAGACTTCTGTTGAGCGATATAAAATTCAAGCAATTCTCGTGACAAGAACTCGTTCGTTCGTTTCAGCCAAATGATGTCCACTGCTGGAAAAATGCCTCCCCCAAAGCTTTTCACAACAAACCGGTCCTGCGCTGCCCGTATCCAGGTTCTTCCTGCAACCTTCACCAGATCGTCGGTCCACCTAGTGCCCCCGCTACGTCAGAAACTCACACTGAGCAATTTAGGTGAAATACAGAATTTTTAAAGTGACATGACAAAAAGCCACTAATTCCACTGCCATACCTGTGTCCTGGTCTCGATGAGCTCCAACAAGTCCTGCCAGGTCTCCTTGAGCCCCTCCTTCCACTGTGCAATCGTGGCGTTGTCAGAGTGACCCATGGCGATCATCTGGTCGGCGATGCGTTCAGCAGTGGCCACGCGTTCAGACCCAACCGCTTGGGTCTCGCGCGCGAACTCCTTGAAACGCTCCCATAGAAGCTGGAAAGGAGAATAAATGTTAGAAACGTTACAGGAATGGTGTAGGTTGAGTGTGGAATTTTTTTGTAGACTTCATTGTTAGATTACAAGTTACTTCGGTTAACATTCTTCAATGTTGCTTTACTATGACATGATATTTAGACTCAGAGCTAGTGAACGCCAGAAAAAAACTGTCTTTTGGGAGCTACCCTAAAGACAGTTTATTTAGGGTAGCTCCCAAAGCCACCATAACCCAAACTTCATAATTCACCAACATTATATCCTATATTGGGAGCATACGCTGAAAAACTTTCAGCTTTTATAAAATGACGTAGGTCTGGCGTTCACTAGCTCTTAGTCTAATTAACATGAACAAATGAAGGTGTTGCCGATTTTCTTGAATGATGTTGTAAAGGAAGTTGAATGACTCAAAACATAACGGTTCGGTAATTTTCAATCTACGAAGGTAAATTGACTTTGACGAGGTTCTAATATTGCTTTTTACCTGTGGCTTTCAATGCACATATCGGTAGATGCAACGCTTCGTCGCGTTCCCACTTTTAAAATGCCGCCACTAAAGGAGTTACATCTCTATGGCACAGTATCTAAGGTTCAAATTCCACTTACAGTGACATGTTCGTAGTCCTGTCCAAGCTCCTGTGAACTAGCCACCAGCTCTCGCTCCGTGATCCATTGCTCCAGGTCATCGACCTCGCGGGACAGCTGGAAGAGTCGCAACGCTTCGTCCAACTTGGCGCGGGTATCATTAATGCCTCTCAACACATACCTTAGTAACTGCTGCAATCGACGTACTTCCAACTTCATAAAGGCCGACCCTACAGTAATTACACCTCTATAATGCAGTAATTAAGGTTCAAATTCCACTTACAGTGACATGCTCGTAGTCCTGTCCAAGCTCCTGTGAACTAGCCACCAGCTCTCGCTCCGTGATCCATTGCTCCAGGTCGTCGACCTCGCGAGACAGCTGGAAGAGTCGCAGCGCTTCGTCCAACTTTGCGCGGGTGACATTAATGCCTCTCATCACATACCTTAGTAGCTGCAGCAATCGACGTACTTCCAACTTCATAAATGCCGACCCTACAGTAATTACACCTTTATAATGCAGTAGCTAAGGTCCAAATTCCACTTACAGTGACATGCTCGTAGTCCTGTCCGAGCTCCTGTGAACTAGCCACCAGCTCTCGCTCCGTGATCCATTGTTCCAGATCGTCGACCTCGCGAGACAGCTGGAAGAGTCGCAACGCTTCGTCAAGCTTGGCGCGGCGCTCGCCGGCCAAGTCCTTGAGTCCAGCGTACAGTTTGTCCACTTGCGATTGCTTTACGGAGATTTGTTCGCTGTGGAGAGGAGATATGCGTGAGTAAATTGGCTTCCAATGAACTTTTCGTTCCGTTAAGATACGATTCGATATTGTAGTTTATGACGCACCTCTCTTTTTGTATGATGTGAAATCAGCTACCCATACACAAGATACATGTCCAAGGACAATGTGCATATGATTTAGTTCCATTTTGAAAAACATGCAGAGCAAAAAATTTAACGATAGACCAAAAGACAGACATTTTATTCTTATGCACTTTGATAAAAATATTGTCCAAATGATCACTTGAAAGTGCGATGCTTGTAAGCATTTATGCATTGGACCAAAAGTATTCTTATTAATTTTATTTAAACTCTGTCTCCCTCCAGCTTTCTCCCTCTATCCCGAACAGTATTCTGCAAAAAACTCACCTCAAAGGATGTTCCTCGCTGGTCAGCTGCCTGACAGTTTCTCCGAGCTGGCGGATGGTCTGCGCATAATCATCAACCGCCTGCTCCAGAATCTCGTGCTTCTTCATCAGGTTCTGGGCAGAGATCTCGTCTTTACCGCGGTCTTCCACCATCATGTATAGCTCTTGCTCGCTCATCCAGGCCTCCGCTTCGTTGGCGTCGAACAGATACTGTTGCGCTTTCTCCCATTGGGACAGGTTGTTCTTGCGTTGTTCGATGGCATCTGATCAATGAAATGAAAAGTAACTACCATTAACTATAGAAAAAATAGTAATGTTACTCTCCAGGGTTACACATTAGTTACAATGAAGAAATGACTGCTTTAATCGAGAGCAACATTAGACGAGTCACGCAGGACTCGCATAAAATACAGATTTACTAATGTTATTATGAGAAATGCTTAGTAAAATGTTTTATATTGGAGCCGCCAGGCGACCACATTGGAGCCGCCAGGCGACCACAATAAAAGCGTCTTCGAACAGAAACAGTGAATGTTTACAGCCGAAGCCACAAGCAACTTTCTGCACAGAAACACACTCGTCTTCGAATAGAAACAGGAAGACGGCCTTGACAAGAGCCGTTGCATAGCCCTGAGAATAGCTGTTTTGTGGTCGCTGGCAGCTACAATATAAAAGAAAGAAAATAATATTAAACTGGACTAACGCATACTATTATCTTGTGAGCACTTTATTCAATAGTTACAAATGATTTTTGTATTTAAAATAGCTCACCTTTAAGTTCTCGCCACCGCGCCGTGAGTTCGTCGATCCTCTGCTTGAACTCGGGCGCGTCCTCGTGTCCCTCATCAATGAGCTTCTGTCCGTTGGAGATGACCGTCAGGATACGCGGCTCGTGGTTGTCAGTCTCGGTCTTGAGAGACTGGTTCTTCTTCTGAAGCATCTGCACGTTGAACAGCGAGTTGCCGTAATCAGTGCTGGTAGCTAAAGGCATCTTCTCATGGATCCATAATTTCTCATCCTCGATGTCGCGTCTGAATTGGAACGCTTCTTTCTTCTTCGCCAAGTTCTGCTGACGCTCCAGTAGAGGAGCTTTGAGCTGCTCGAATCTTTGCTCCACAGATTTTTTCTTTTCCTTAATTTCCTCCATCTTATCGGGCACGGTCTTCTGCAAGTATTCCGCTTGGGTCTCCAATTCCGTGACCTGCTTCGCCTTGACGGCCATCTGAGTCTCGATCATCTGCTGCTTCTGCATGAGAATGTTGACAGACGCCAGATCAGTGCCGGTGTCGGTGTTCTCGATCTGCTTCTCTAGTTCGTTCATCCACGAGTCGATGTCGTCGCAGGTCTGGTGGAGGAGCACCTCGCGGTTCGCGTCGAAGAGACGCTCGCCCTTTTCTTTGGTTGTCGTCTGGAGGTTTTCGAATTGATCTTCTAATTCGGTCATCTTGGGGGAGATGATTTCGACGAATTCCGGCTTCTGCTTCATGAGTTCTTCGGCCGCGTTCTGGACGGCGAACAGGCGTTCCTTGTTAGCCGCGATTTCGGCCTCGAAAGCTTGATGGCGGGTCCATTTCGAGTGGATGGTCTTTGCGGAGCGGTAGGTGTCGTCTTGTGCGGTGACGTTCTTCTCCTGCACCCACTCGCCGAGTTCGTCGCAGTCTTGGAGGAACTGGTGGAGTTGAAGCTGGTCTTGGAGCTTCTCCATTTGCTGGACGGCCTTGTCGCGGTTTGCGTTGCGGCGCGCCTCGATGCTCTCAGCCTTGCGTTGGATCTTGTCGGCATCGAAGTGGCGTTCTTCCACCAGGCGGTTGGCAAACTGCACGACGGAGTTGATCTTGTCGTCGTTGGCTTCCATGGTCGTGAGGAAGGCCTCGTGCTCCTTGATGAGGTTCTCGGCTTGCTCCAGGTTCGTTGGCGGCTCGGTCTTTGCCAGTCTGCAAAGGAAATTAAGGTTATTGCATCGAACTCGAGCTTACTTTGAACACACTGTTTTCCCAACCCAGTCGAGTCGAGTCGAGATACAGTGACATAAACTTGCTGCAATTAATTTAGAACCTTGTCACACAGACACAAAGTCCAAAACCCATCGTACCTGAGCTCCTGGTGCGCCAGTAGCACCTCAGCCTGGCGCGCGTCTCTCTGCAGCAGCTGCAGCTCTAAGCTCTGTGCTAGCAGCTGCTGTCTGCTCTCCCACATCTGAGCCTCGTTACGCTCGCGTAGAGACATGAACTAACCTTCCCCAATTGATTTTGACCCTTATCCCACAAACACAAAGTCCAAAACCATTCACACCTGAGCTCCTGGTGCGCCAGCAGCACCTCAGCCTGGCGCGCGTCTCTCTGAAGCAGCTGCAGCTCTAAGCTCTGTGCGAGCAGCTGCTGCCTGTTCTCCCACATCTGAGCCTTGTGACGCTCGCGAAAGACCATGTACTAGCTTTCCCCAATTGATTTTGAGCCTTATCCCACAGCTACAAAGTCAAAAACCCATCGTACCTGAGCTCCTGGTGCGCCAGCAGCACCTCCGCCTGGCGCGCGTCTCTCTGCAGCAGCTGCAGCTCTAAGCTCTGTGCGAGCAGCTGCTGCCTGTTCTCCCACATCTGAGCCTTGTGGCGCTCGCGAAAGACCATTTACTAGCTTTCCCTAATTGATTTTGAGCCTTATCTTAAAGCCACAAAGTTCCATTGCCATCGTACCTGAGCTCCTGGTGCGCCAGCAGCACCTCAGCCTGGCGCGCGTCTCTCTGCAGCAGCTGCAGCTCCAGGCTTTGAGCAAGGAGTTGCTGCCTGTTCTCCCACATTTGTTGTAGGTCCAATTGATTTTGAACCTTATCCCACAGCTATAAAATTCAAAACCCATCATACCTGATCTCCTGGTGCGCCAGCAGCACCTCCGACTGGCGCGCGTCTCTCTGCAGCAGCTGCAGCTCTAAGCTCTGTGCGAGCAGCTGCTGCCTGTTCTCCCACATCTAAGCCTCGTGACGCTCGCGTTGAGACATGTACTAACTTTCCCCAGTTGATTTTGAACCTTTTCCCATAGTAACAAGGTTCAAAACCCATCGTACCTGAGCTCCTGGTGCGCCAGCAGCACCTCAGCCTGGCGCGCGTCTCTCTGCAGCAGCTGCAGCTCCAGGCTTTGAGCAAGGAGTTGCTGCCTGTTCTCCCACATTTGTTGTAGGTCCAATTGATTTTGAACCTTATCCCACAGCTATAAAATTCAAAACCCATCATACCTGATCTCCTGGTGCGCCAGCAGCACCTCCGACTGGCGCGCGTCTCTCTGCAGCAGCTGCAGCTCTAAGCTCTGTGCGAGCAGCTGCTGCCTGTTCTCCCACATCTGAGCCTCGTGGTGCTCGCGTTGGGACATGTACTAACTTTCCCCAGATTTTAAGCCTTACCCCACAGCTACAAAGTCCATAACCCATCGTACCTGAGCTCCTGGTGCGCCAGCAGCACCTCAGCCTGGCGCGCGTCTCTCTGCAGCAGCTGCAGCTGCAGCTCCAAGCTCTGTGCGAGCAGCTGCTGCCTGTTCTCCCACATCTGAGCCTCATGACGCTCGCGAAAGACCATGTACTAGCTTTTCCTAATTGATTTTAAATCTTATCCCACAGACACGAAGTCCAAAACCCTTCGTACCTGAGCTCCTGGTGCGCCAGCAGCACCTCAGCCTGGCGCGCGTCTCTCTGCAGCAGCTGCAGCTCCAGGCTTTGAGCAAGAAGCTGCTGCCTGTTCTCCCACATCTGCTGCAACTCGGCCCAGCCCTCACGCAGAGCCTTAAGACGCTCGCGCAGGAACATGTATTGCGGGTCGTCTTGGGTGGACGGCTCCTGGGGGACAAAGGACGGTAAAAAAAGTCGTACATGACGTCATGATAAGGACGCATCAAGCTAAAAGATGGGACGACTTATGTGGTTGTAATAGAAATTATTTAGCACCAACAACGTTGTGTAATTGACATCGTGTCTTATCATAATAACTTATGTGGTTCTAAAATATACAACTTTACACCACAATCTGACGTACAGTCGTTGTTACAGGTTGAAACCATCAAAGTTTAAAATACCCTAGCTCTAAGAACGTAAGCCCTAAAAGCAAGATGAGCGGTCTCTTTGACGAGGAGAACCAAAATTCCGCATACAAAAGAAACTAAAAGGGTGTCAAAACACAAATATAGAGATAAAGACCACGCTAGATGCATTGTAACTATCCCACTGTCAAAAACCTTGTCGAACAGACAAAGCGCAAATGTTACGTTACATTAAATCATGTCATGCATTTTACCAAAAACATCTAGCCATAAAAAAATAATATTTTTGTAACTTATAGAAAGATAGAATTATACTCACGGCAGTGATCTTCTCGCCATACTCCATCATCTTGGCGTACTCGTCCTTGTAGTTGTCGATCTCCTCCTTGATGGTCTGGTGCTGCGACAGAAGCTTCTCCGCCTCGGCCAGGCTTGACGGCGTGTCTAAAAGGTAAATACATTATTTAATGATGTGGACTAGAAATAAAGGCATTTACTTGTAACAGAACAACGAGCCACTCTGTTTTTCACGAACCAAATGTCGTACAGTCAGCGTCAAATAGTTCATGACACCCAAAGTGACTAAAAAGTTGACAACACAACCTTCTTCCAATGGCAACAAAGACGTGTTGCGAACTTATTGGCTACTTTGGGTGCCACGGACAATTTTATCTGTATTGCATCATTCTTAAAAAGAATACATAGAAATGCTCTAGTCTTACTTTAAGAATATCTTATTATAATCGTAAAAGAGACTTTTAATATGGAAGACTAAAGACCCACAAGAAAAGACCCATGATGTATTAATAATGTCATCAATATAACATCAATTTTGTTACCTTCAGAAGCCACGTCCGTCTGCGTCTTTGTGAGCCAGGCCTGGAAGTGGTCGACGGAGCGTAGGAAACGGTGCAAGTCTCCGGCTTCCTCCAATTTTGAGTCGCGTTCTTTGAGCTGCGAAAAACAGACCACTTATTTACTCTATGTTTCTAAAATTATGATCTGTAGGAGGTTAAGTTATAGTAAGGCCAGGCCTTTGTCCAGCAGTGGACGTCTTTTGGGCTGAAACGAACTAAGGCCAGGTAATCAAGTAGCATTTACAACTGTGTGTAGATTTATACTAAAATCCAATGGTCATAAATATCATACCTCTCATTCAATCATAGTAGTTTCTTAGATGTCCGTTCCATAGCATAACATAACTTACCCAGGGGTTTAGATGTAACCTCTGGGCTACATCGCGATCGGCGTATATTTCAGTTTTTTGTATAGTCGCAAGACTTCGCTCCGCTGTCAATGCCGCCGGATGTTATGGCGATGTATATGGCCCAGGGGAATAACGAAGTTAAAAAGCCAAACTACAGTCTGGCCTGTAACTATCGTTTTTTATGAATCATAAAATTATGATTTTATCTATTCTAATGGATACAATAGTTAAAACTATGGTCAAAAATGGTCCTGAAAACGGAGGAACATCGTCATCATCAGTCCCACTCACCATCTGCGTCAGCTGGTCCTCGCGCGTTGGCCTCGTCCTGGATGGCGGCCAGGTCGCTCTGGATGCCCGACAGGCGGCGCTGTAGGGTCACCACACACTCACCATCTGCTCGCGTTGGCCTCGTCCTGGACGGCGGCCAGGTCGCGCTCCATGCTCGCCAGGCGGCGCTGTAGGGTCACCACACACCATCTGCTCGCGTTGGTCTCGTCCTGGACGGCGGCCAGGTCGCGCTCCATGCCCGCCAGGCGGCGCTGTAGGGTCACCACACACTCACCATCTGCTCGCGTTGGCCTCGTCCTGGACGGCGGCCAGGTCGCGCTCCATGCTCGCCAGGCGGCGCTGTAGGGTCACCACACACCATCTGCTCGCGTTGGTCTCGTCCTGGACGGCGGCCAGGTCGCGCTCCATGCGGCGCGTAGGGTCACCACACACTCACCATCCGCTCGCGTTGGTCTCGTCCTGGATGGCGGCCAGGTCGCGCCCCATGCCCGCCAGGCGGCGCTGTAGGGTCACCACACACTCACCATCTGCTCGCGTTGGCCTCGTCCTGGATGCCGGACAGCCGGCGCTGTAGGGTCACCACACACTCACCATCTGCTCGCGTTGGTCTCGTCCTGGATGGCGGCCAGGTCGCGCTGGATGCCGGACAGGCGGCGCTGTAGGGTCACCACACACTCACCATCTGCGTCAGCTGGTCCCAGTTCTCGGTGATGTGCTGGACGCGCTCGCGGATGAGCGCCGCCTCCTCCGGGTGCGAGCCCTCGATGGCGTTGGCCTCGTCCTCCAGCGAGCTGATGCGCGCCTGGATGGCGGCCAGGTCGCGCTCCATGCCTGATAGGCGCCGTTGAAGTGTCATCACGCCTAGGAAATGATGGCACGTTAATTTTATGGACATAAATCACTGCTGGAGAATACAGCTAGGTCGTTGAGACTAAAACTGAACACAGTGGTCGTAAATAGGCGAGTTTGGTCGACTACTCTCGCGGTTTTGGAATACGTAACGCATTTTTTTATGCGCGCCTGGATGGCGGCCAGGTCGCGCTCCATGCCCGATAGCCGGCGCTGAAGGGTCATCACGCCTGGGGAGTTATGAAGAGTTATTGAGGTGCACGAAAACCAGTAGACTTACTACTTACCACACTTTTTGTAACGATCAAAAGGTACATACAAAGATGTATAAAGCCTGGTCCGTGAGCACGTAGAATCCCGTCCAATGACCCCAAGCTACCCATCCTTATCGCTCGCGCGTAATTATATTGCTGTCGCGACTGTGCGACGCGCGCCCGCAGTGAGTGTGTGAGCGGGACAGCAACATAATTACGTGCGAGCGACAAAGATGGGCAGCTTGGGGTCATTGGACGGGATTCTACGTGCTCACGGACCAGGCTTTAGTTCGTTTCATCCACGAATACGCGCGGGGTCGTGGGAAGCGCGGGGTGCGGGGAGCATGATCCGACCAATCCGAGTGTCATTATTGTAGTTTGCGCGCTCACTCACGGACAACTAACTTGCAGCGCTGCCAACGTCACAAATGACGCTCGGATTGGTCGGATCAAACTCCCCGCACCCCTCGAACTCGCTCGTCTTCGTGGATGACACGAACTATAATAATATGAAGTAGAGCAATGCGGGGCGGGTGACATGTCACGTAATAATGTTTTGCAAAACGATGTGGAAATCGCGATACTGAGGAGTGCGGATGTGAAAGAAAAATCATAGTTTTTGTGCCTACATAGCAGCAGCTAATGAAACGATATCTGGAGTTGATCAAAATCAATCAATCATTTTGTAAGTAATCGAATAGCTGCTGAAATAGCGGCGATTGCGGCCTATTCAGTGTCGTTGGAACCTGTCGCTAAATCAAATAGATGTTACTCTTACCGTTGAGGTCCATCTCCAGGTTGTCGGTCTGCTGCAGGATGCGCTTCTTGTCCTCGATCCACGACACCGTCTCGCGGCACTCGATGTGGAACGTCTGCACGCCTTGCGCGGACTTCAGTTCGTCCTTCTTGGCTTCCGCCTGGTGGAGAGAAACAATAAATAAGATGTCTTTAAGTTACTAGTGAAAAATAAAACGTATAATTCCAACAGATTGGAATGGGACCACTCATTCTTCATGTTGATGCCAGCAGGCAACTAAAGAGAAAAATATGTGAAAACCAGGCTTCCTCAACCCGTCGGTAGCTTGAAGAGTGTAGAAGTCTTGCATTTGCCTCTGGTAAGTTAAAAGATTGTGAATTCGTGATCCTATAGTAGAGACTAAATAACCTGATGTTGATTTGTTACTTTCTCCCTTAACATTTGTCACCTGTCATCCTCGGCACTGAAGGGAAGTCGAACCTTAACTTCAAACTCCTATGTTCTCTCGAAAAAAAAATAGGCGGATCTAATGACAGTTTAACGTTCCCCCGAGAGAAACTTGATCTTCAATGGTTGGGTTTTTGTTGGCGGTCAAGCTGTACATCCTGGCTATACAGGAGTTGCAAAGGTGGGAAAGTGTGGTAGGATAGCTCCCGTATAGCTCAAGTCCTCCATTACTTCTGATAAACTCGGGTCCTGTGGTAAGATCGTGATCGATCGATACAATTATTTAAATCCTTAAATCTTTGCCGTATTAAGTCCTTTAACTTGTACGCCTTGCATTTCCCTTGTCTGCCATTTTCGTTTTCTGTTGTATGATCGGTGCTTGCCGTATGGCCTTGACTGTAGGTATAATATGTAATGTGTGTGTCAACGTGAAGTTGTGGACTCTGTCAGTTTATAGTGTGGCGCGTTGGATTGTAAACTAACGGTGGGTTAGGTTAGGTTGGATTGTAATTTAACTACGTCGGATTGTAGTCTGGCGGAGTTCGCAGTTTTACGGTGACATATATAACTGCACTAAGCCAACTTAAATAATTGGTAATACGGTTGTTTCCTGACTTTTGTCTTAGAACTTGTCAATTTTAACTTACCAAACTTAAAACTTAAAATTTGCATGGAATTTATTGTCATAAACTTAAAATTAGTCAAATAATTTCTTCAAACGTGTGCGACATTAGTAGCTGTTCTATTTGTTACTTTTGTGGATAACGGTGCTGGTTGTGCATTTATTTAAGATTATTTATCTGTAAGACTTTTTGTAAAACCGTTTGTACAATTGTTTGTTGTCCCTAATAAAATAAAATAAAATAAATAAAATAAAATCGTGCTCCTGCAGTTTAGGCTACATGACCTGATGATATGAACTAGTCTAGACTATTTACCTTCTCCCTGAGAGCGCCCCAGGCCTGGTTGAGGGCCTGCTGCCGCTGCTGTATGGCGGGCGCCTGCGGGTGCTCCACGTGGATGAGCTGCCGAGCCAGCTGGTTCACGACCGCCACGCGGGACGCGTTCGCGTTCATCTCCTTGTCGAAGCCGTCGTATCTGTGGGAATTTGTGACTTGTTATAACCACTTTAGAACTTTATTTGCATTGGTAAAGATGTCAGATTAATGAAATTCGGGTTCATTCTCTTGTCAAAGCCGTCGTATCTGTAGGAATTTATGACTTGTGAATATCACTTTAGAACTTAATTTGCAATGGTCAAAAGATGGCAGTCGAATAAAATAAACTATTTATGACATCGCCGACCATGACATCAGAACAATTATGTGCAATTTTTACGTATGCATATAATGCATAATATGTAGTAAGCTTACGCTAACTGTATTACTACATTTCACATGTTTCTGGAAGAAAGAGACGCAAAGAAAACTGCATGGGATCTCAGCAGAAATGTTTCCATGAGAGGAAATGTTTTAACTATCTAACCTCGCCATAAACAAAACGTGAATCAAGAGTATCGATGCATCGATATTTTGTGGTGGTGATATCTTGTTTGTGGATCTTCCCAGCATTGATATCTTTAAGTGCAGCATGACATTTATACTAAAAATCATCCAAAGCTCGACATCTGCCTATTTTAAGTTTTAAAAAAATGACGTCATAGTAGTTGTTGACGTGTGCTTCTTACCTGTGCTTCATAATCTCCACATCATCGATATCCTTAGGCGGCAGCATGGTATCCAACATACGATCCTTCTCAGCGATCCATTGGTCGGCAGCATCAGCTTCTCCCAGCAGTTTGAACAGCGAGAGAGCATCGAGCAGCCTCTGCTTGCGGAGACGAGCCAACTCGGCAAGTTCTCCGTGACGCGCGTCGATGGCGGCCAAACGCTCACGGACCTCGGGGCTGTTGGCGTCTTCTGGGCTTAGCTCGCTTGCCTAGGAATTTACACAAAGTTAAGAAAATAACTCCTGGAAAATTGGCTTAGTTATAGCCAGCGTCAAATAGTTCGTGACACCCAAAGTGGCCAAACACAACAATATTTCAATGAGGGTTTTCGCGATTGAAAAATCCGCCAGATGGCAATACGTAGACGCGAGGTCCAAATGCTGCATGATTGGTTATTTTTGACATGACATTGACAGATATGTCAAAATCCACCAATCATGCAGCATTTGGACCTCCCGTCTACATATTGCCATCTGGCGGATTTTTCAATCGCGAAAACCCTCATTGTAACAAAGACGTGTAGCGAACTTTTTGGCTCCCAAAGTACGGTTTGGACTCACGGACTATTTGACGCCTAGTGTACAAACGAGTATGCATAAGGATGATAAAGGATGGGAGAACATAGAAGATAATAATCTGTCTATAAGAAGACATTTTTGTAGACCTAGTCAGGGAAGATAATAAACAAACACACTTTGGTAGAAAAGTTCAAATAGGCCAAATTCTGGAAGCGTAATTACCAGCAGGGATACTCTCTTACACAGTAGGTATTAAGAAATCGATATTCTCTCTCACTCACAGCAAGATAGAAAAGAAAATGAATGGGAATGGCAGGCATTGCTTCCTCGCTAAAGATGTTTTTTGCGAAGTCATAACAACTATCAGCCTTTTCCTTTTGGCGAGTTTGCGACCAAATGAATCAATGATTACATTAAACTCTATTACGACAAGAATACAGTTCAAAATCGTTCAAAGCTTACCTGTTGCTTGAGCTGCTGAATGACGCTGGCGTAGTTCTTGAGCTCGTCGGTGACGTCCTTGTGCTTCTTCAGCAGGCTCTGGACTTGCGCCTCGTCCACACCGGTATCTTCCGACGACACCAATCTAAATTGGAGTGTATTTGTTAGTAATAAGATTCATATTCATTTATCTTGTAATTAATAATGAACCAACATGCATTACACGGTTATATTATTTTTATTTGTTAATTTTCTGTGTTTAACATTGTTGCAGTGTTGGACATTTTCCCGGGAATTTGGAATGACACGAAAATGTATTTCACAGTTTAATTACTCGTACCTGTGCAATCTATTTATGTATTATTTATACAAACAAAAGTAACTTTTTTTTCTTGGTACTACCACAGAATAATAATGAGTACGATTTTCTTCGCGAAGGTATATAAAAAAATGTATGCTCAATGTCGTTAACAATATGGTGTAATTTAGCTTGTCTCAAGAGTCGAGCACCATTTTGTTGACAAACGTCAGTGATCGGTACTGCGCCGAAGACATAGGGCTGACTTCGGTAAAATGATGTGTGACGTGAGGTGCCAAACTGCGAAAAATGGCGGAGGAAATACATGAATAAGCATGAATTATATTTTGTGTTTCTAATATTATTCAGGCAGTTAAAAAATACTGTAGAGTATTAATTGCACCGCCGTTTTTACATATGGTTTATTGTCTTTACAATGCAAATGGGTGAAGAATACGTGCGTGCGTCAATACTCGCTCGTCATTGTCCTGTCAATTTGGTATCTCAGGAGGGGTAGTCGCGCGTGTTTTGTTTTCGATGCAAACTCGCGGAGATGAACAGGCCAGGTACTACTCAAAAATGGACAGCAGAAATAGTGAGACTGAATTTTGTTATTGTAAAATACTGTTTAATGTATTTTTGACGTTGAAGTTTGAAAAAGATTTTCAAATACTCTGGGGTTGTCATAAGAAATTATTACAGCATCGTTTTAAATAATTAAAGATAGGAAAAATCTTAGAATGAAGTCCAATATCAATAGTAGTCCATATCAAACCAAATTTTAACAATCAAAAACCGAACACAAACCTGAGCGTGTCCAACATCCAGTTGTCAATGTCATCGGCGTCAGCGAACAGTTGGTGGTAGCGAACAGCTGCGTCCAAACGGTTCTTGCGGAGGGACACCGCGTCGAGTAGGTGATTCCATTGGGACAGGATGTCGCGGAGACGGTCCTGGATTAGACAATAATGGTATTAAGTATCAGTTATAACAAACACCTAAGCTAAAACTAAAGCTTGCATTAGTAGGAGTCTACTAATCAACTATGACACCAAGTCTTCAAATAAGCTTGCACTAGTAGAGGTCTACTGAAAGATATCAAGCAGGAAAGTCGTATACATCTTCATTTTGGTTTAGTTATAAAAGTTGTCTGATTGGTTATTGGTTTAGTTGACAAATAAATTCAGGTCCAAACGTCACAAAATAGGTTTTTCATGATTTGTCCCTTGAAGGTAAACCCTCCATTTGTCGCTGGTAAATTAGAGAAAATCGTACTTCTGGAGTGGAGACTTAACAACCTGAAGATTATAATGATGTGAGATGAGCTCGTCTCCCACGGCCGCTACGCCCATGAGCTAAGCCATGTTTGCGGAAGCGCACACCGACGGCTTTCACGCGATAATCCGGAAGCGGAGCGCATCGCTCCTAGAGCGTCTCCGCGGCAGTACAAATTGCATCCTGAGGGAATTGGCTGACAGGTGGGACTCGCCGCTGCTGGGGCGCTGGCTTAGCTTGCACGTTTCCAGTGCTATGTAAGCGGCTTTATAATCATTATTTGTATCTTACTAACATACGCTAAGTGAAAATTGTTACTAACACGATTATGGACCCCGGTCTGACAATATTTTTTTTCAATTCAATTCAATAAGCTGCACCTCATGCGCCTTCACGTCCGCCTCCAACGCCTTGTGTTTGGAGATCAGCAGGCACACTGCAGCAGCGGGCTGATGATGATGATGATGGTGATGATGATGTTTACCTGTATTCTATCAGCGCCGAAGTGTCCGCCGGAGATGAGCTCGTCTCCCACGGCCGCTACGCCCATAAGTTGAACCTCGTGAGCTTGTACATCCGCCTCCAACGCTTTGTGCTTGGAGATCAGAAGGCACGCTACAGCAGCGGGCTGATGATGATGATGATGATGATGTGAACCTAGGGTTACCAGATGCCCGGGAAATCCGAGATTGTCCCGGAATTTTGCGTCTTGTCCCGTGTCCAGTAAATTAGACATTACTGTCCCGGATTTCCCAAAACCTAATAGTTTTGTGTCAAAATAAACTAATATGTAATAACAAATGACACGGCTGGCCTGCCTGTGAGTCCTATTATGTACGTTGACGTACATTACTTATTTAATAAAAGTGTGTATTTGAAAATAAATGGCATTTTTCTTTTAAAATACAAATTAAATCATTTGAGAAACCAAGATATTTTTACTTTGGCCAAGTCCCAACACCGTTGTCCTAGTAGGATTGTCCCGGATTTGGTAAGTTTCCATCTGGCAACCCTACACTACAGCAGCGGGCTGATGATGATGATGATGATGATGATGATGATGATGATGATGATGTGTACCTGTATCCTGTCAGCGCCGAAGTGTCCGCCGGAGATGAGCTCGTCACCCACGGCTGCTACGCCCATAAGTTGAACCTCGTGAGCTTGTACATCCGCCTCCAACGCTTTGTGCTTGGAGATCAGCAGGTACACTGCAACCAAGACAATAAATGTTCAAAAACTACCCCCTAATAATCAGCAGGTACACTAACTAAGACACAATGTCATATTTCCCCTTTTTTTAGCCAAAAGATGTTACTCCATCCTTCCCTCCTTCTCAGTCGGAAAAAGTCTACTACTGGACTGTATGCAATGTTATCCAGCCACTCAACTAATGCTCGCTAATCACTCAAAACTAATCCCTCTTTCCCAACCGAAGTTACAGAGTCCACTTTAAATTATCATCCCCATTTCATGTTTTATTTCCACGATGAAATGTAAGCGGTTCCGTAACATTATGTACTCAAACCGTGAGTACATAATGTAACTCATTCATAAACGTCGCGTTAGGACCAGTATCTTTCTATTTTAGTTGTAATAATCTCTCTAAAGACCATTGAAAATAGTAGAGGCGTGAGAAAGTTACAGCCACTATAGTCGTCTGGTCTGCGAGCATGTAGAATTTTGTCCAATAAATAAATAAATAATAAATAAATAAATCTTTGGACAATTTCACACAGCGCCAGCTAGCCCCAAAGTAAGCAACTCAATGCTTGTGTTATGGGTGCTAGCTTAACGGATATACTACTTATATACTTTTTTTTTTATTAAATACATATTATACATAGTAACACCCAGACCCGTCACAGAAATTAAAATTCATCATTTCAATTTCTGCCCGGCCGGGAATCGAACCCGGGACCTCTCGGCATAGTAGTCCGTTCTGAACCACTACACCAAACGGCCGACAAAGGTCTTTTCACTTTTTCACACCTAAATAATTGAACCATTTTTAGACATTGAAAAAGGACCTAGGTTACTTTTTGTCACGTTTATTTGACTTTACCACTACATAATTACAGTATGTCCAAACAAAACAAGAATGACTAATAATAATTACTAATTTGATTAAAATTCACAATAACAGATTATTAAGCTCACCAGTAGTGAGGTCGTGGCCGATGTCGTCCACGGACACGATTTGCTCCTTCTCCTTGATCCAGTTCTCCTCGTCGGCCATGTCCCAGTAGAACTGCCACAGCTTGCGGCTGTCCTCCAGGCGCTTTCTGCACCGAAACAAACAGACGCATTATCATCATCATCATCAACAGCCCTTTACAGTCCACTGCTGGACTATGAGCCTCCTCCACTATAGTGGAGGGTTTTGCCATAATCTCCACGCTTGGCAGGCGGGTTGGAGATCGCAGTTTAAAAGATTGATGTTTTTCAGAGAGCGCTGCTGCCCATTCTCTGTTTGATGTGTAGTCCCTAAGTCGCCTCTTACGACACCCGCGGGAAGAGTAGGGGTTGGACGCATTATATTTTAATCTATCTAAATATATAAAAGGAGAAACTGACTGACTGACTGACAGATCAACGCACAGCCTAAACGGCTAAACGTAGGCACTTGAAATTTTGAAGGGACGTAGCTTAGGTACCGTAGAGGTGCACTAAGAAAGGAAATCCCGAAATTCCCACGGGAACGGGAATTAGCGAGAAAATCCTTTTGTATGAAAAATTTAAAACGCTTAAGTTGATGCTTGAAATTTGGCATGCAGGGTACCTGCATGCCAAATTTAAAACTTAGTTACAACAGGGTATTGCAAAATTCCCACGGGAACGAGAGTTAGCGGGAAAAAACATTTGTATGAAAAAATCTAAACCGCGTACGAAGTCGCGGGCGGCCGCTAGTAATAAATAATTCTCAGTCGAAAGTACAAGCAACCGCACGCAGGAGGATTTAATAAATGCTGCTGACAACGCCACTCTTGTAGCCGAGTTTTGGGCTGACATTGTGTAGGTTTGTTGACGACACGATAAGAATAAGTCGAAAGTACTCCATTAGGCTTAACTTTCACCACTCGAGAAAATTTCTATGCTAATAGCCATGAAGGGCGGCAGTTGCATGAGTTTCCCTTCCCCGCTACACCACCCGCAACTCGGTGACATCTTGATACCTCGTCCCCGTTATCTGTCCACTGCCTACAAAACGGTCGCGCACGAAGTTGTTGGACTTATAGTATAGGTACGGAATACAGCAGAAGTCTTGATTGCTAAATTCGTATTGTAAAATATTTTGTTATTCACCAGCCGCACTGGCGCAGAATTTAGTGTACATACTTGTTTTATCATTGTAATTACCTACTCGTTAAATATTTTTTAAGTATTGTTGTAAGTGAGTTATAGCCTGACCAGGAACATAAAAACCCTGGCATAGAGGCGCGTCAATTGCATTTGATAGTGCAACACTGAGTACAGTCGTACCTGTGTTAAATTAATAGGCTAACTTTATGTATCAGGATTCAGGATTACGGGCTAATTTGATATTTTCATAAATTAACGAAAAAATATTATTATAGGTAACATGGTTTAAATAAATTAAATGAAACCATCAATCGAGCTGGTAGGATTTATTTTATTATTCATCAATAATCAAATTCAGAACTTGAATATACAACTGCAATGTCTGCTCATGAACGCTTCAAACTCGGTACTTCTTTCCCAATTCCATAAAATTCAAAACGAAAGTGATGACAAAAAATTTTAAAATAGGTAGTTGAAACAAACCACAGCTAATTTTCATAGTGGACTGTACTATACGATAAACATGTCAGTCAATTTGACAACCTTTGTCGGAAACATTATTCAATGAAAATATTGTCCGAACCCTTAGTATTTCTCTTCGACAAATACTTTAACACATTGTGAACCACTTTTCTTTCACGATTATAGAAAGATTTTAGCAATTTAATTCACAAAATCAATTGCGCACATTTAAAATAAAGTTTGTTTACACTTTGACAGCAATAGACTGACATGCAAGGTGACATGTCAATGAAGTTTTCAGTTACTGTTGCCATTAAAAGAAATTAGTACCATTAGTTTTCCGCAACATGGCGAGGGTTTTTATGTTCCTGGTCGGGCTATAAGTGTATTTTCGATGATACTGAATAAAAATTTTTTCTTCCTTTTAAAATCTTATAGGGAAGCGCTGGACGCAAACCACTACCAATCGATCAACATGGAAAGCATTGGGGGAGGCCTATGTTCAGCAGTGGACGTCCTATGGCTGAAATGATGATGATGATGAAAATCTTAAAATCGTAATCATTACAAGTACAAAGAGTTTACCTGCGCTCCACGGCCAAATGCACGAGCTCGGCGTAAGCGTTCTGGAGGTACTCGATCTTTTCAGTCAAGGGTTCATGTTTGTTTCAAAATCGTATCTATTACAAGTACACAAAGTTTACATGCGCTCCACGGCCAAATGCACGAGCTCAGCGTAAGCGTTCTCGAGCTACTAGTGATCCGTCCAGTCGAAAGCTGGACAGGCTAAAATCATAATCACAACTGCACAAGGTCCATCATTCGTACCTGCGCTCCACGGCCAAATGCACGAGCTCGGCGTAAGCGTTTTCGTGCTGCTGGATCCGTATAATCGAGAACACGTGAGATTCTACGTTCAGTTTTTGCAAAATTGTATCTATTACAAGTACATAAAGTTTACCCGCACACGACGTCCAAATGCATGAACTGATCGGTCTAGTGATCCAGTAGCTAGTCAGTCTAAAATCGCCCTTACAACAACTACATAAGATCCATTATCCGTACCTGCGCTCCACGGCCAAATGCACGAGCTCAGCGTAAGCGTTCTCGAGCAACTAAATCCGTACAATAAAGCTACTCAGATCCTAGGTTCATTTAAATATTCAAAGTAGTCAAATGCACGAACTAGTGGTCTAGTGATCCAGTAGCTTGTCAGTCTAAAATCGCCCTTACAACAACTACATAAGATTCATTATCCGTGGTATCCTTCCGTTTGGCCAAATTACTTTTCGCCAAATTTCACTTCGCAAACAACTTATCGCCAAAGTTTCATTTTCCAAATAAACTTTTAGCAACTGTACTTTTCGCAACTAATTCATTTGGTCAAATTAACATTTGGCCAAATTTTACTTGGCAAATGTTTATATAGCAAATGTTTTATTTTGCCAAATATTATATCCCAAATAATTTGCTTGGTCAAATTGACACTTCACATACTTACGAGTACCCACCGTTACCCACAAATCAAAGCATAAGGCACATGGTCATGGTTTTCACAATAATNTGTAGAAAATAGTAGGTTAGGTTAGGTTAGAACAGTGACCCTTAATGCGCGAAGGCGAGCGAAGCGTGCCGCGGCAGCGGCCGCCGAGCGCTAGAATCATCTCTATTGTTAATGAATCATTTGGAAATTTCGATAAAAAGAAAGAAATATGAAAATTTACTTAGAAAAAAATTTATATTAACTACCCACTAAAGAAAATAATAACCACAAGCTAATTTGTATTCCATTCATCATTCACATAGTTTTGTAAATAGTTTATCGCGAAATATTTTTGCCAAATGAAACATTTGGCAAAACATACTTTGCCAAACAATAATTTGCTAAACAATAATATGCCAAAAACGACATTTGCGAATTAAAAGTTTGCAATAAGTTGTTTTGCCAAATGAGAATTTGCCAAATGAAAATTTGCGAAACGTTGTTTGCGATGTGATAATTTGGGAAACGTTTTTTGGCCAAACATTAGTAATCCATTATCCGTACCTGCGCTCCACGGCCAAATGCACGAGCTCGGCGTAAGCGTTCTCGAGCTGTTGGATGCGCTCCACCGTAATAGCAGGGTCGCAGGGCCGGTAGCCGCCCTCCTCTTGTTCCAGGAAGCGCTGGGACTGACCCACCACCACCTGGAAACGAATTACATGTTATAACAGAAATAACTAAACTAAGTCCCAGAACGGACGGTGAAACGCAACTGCAACGAAACTGCAACTGCTAGTTACTGCCATAGCGTCCGTTGAGAGACCACACATGACGCGACCAGTTTGAAAGTTTCAGTTTCATTCATAAGAATCATCAGAAAGTTGCAGTTTCGTTGCAGTTGCGTTTCACCGTCTGTTCTGGGTTTAAGAGAACGAAAGAGAGAGAAATGGAGTAAAAAACTATTGACATTATACATCTTTATCGCAAAAGAGCATATAGTACAACTTGATAAGATGTGTTGCATTCATGTGTTGTATTTGTAAATATGGTTATACTCGTTTCCCAGTACTGTACAACTACGGCCTTATACATCGTAGCACGAATTGGCATCTTATAAGCTTAGTGGTTTCAGAGCTAAACATTTATTTTAGAAAGGTTGTGTCACTAAACTATTGATTTATGTTAAACCTACCCAATAATAGAAAACATTATCATCAAAAAGGTAGGTAAGTTATTGACCATTTATTTTAGTAGTTAGTTACCTTGACTCGTTCACCCAACACGTTGATATCGGCTTCAACCAGCGCGTGCTTTTGCAGCAAGTCCTCGACTCCCATCAGATGTTTGCCGTAGTCGTCCGTCAACAGACGCATCTTGATCTCTTCCATGGAGTCCAGGATGTATAACATTTCCTAGGAATAAAATTATGGTTAATGACAATTTTAAGGTTATATCTCATTGTATGATTTTAGGTAGATTGCTGCTAAATTAAACAATGCAATAGATGCAAAAAGTACCATGATCAAACTGATTCAAAAGGAGAACCAAAGTAACCGACATATCCCGCAGAAACTCATAACTAAAGTGCAAGTGCAAGTGCAAGTGGGGCAAGTTTCTCGAATGGCGACCACGGACCGGATAACGTAGTGTTAGCAGGTCTTGCACTCGGTGGCCCGACGATCAGAGGTGGAATTGTGTAAAGCAATCGTAATCATTTGACAGTTCATAACGTACGATAGTCAGTTATACAAAGCGTTTGACAGAATAATCGTACGTTATGAACTGTCAGATGATAACGATTGCTTTACACAATTCCACCTCAGGTGCAGGTCTCGGAAAGCATTTAATCTAAGAACTTCAAATAATATCAAAAATACAGGTAACCCTCCTCACACTTTATAGTTACGCCAACGTGTTAAACTATCTAGGATTATAACATCTAAGAACAGCCCAATAAGGTCGTAAATACCTGGAAGTTCTGCTGCAGCTGCAACGACAGCTCGAGGCGGGCGCGGCGCGCGCGCAGCAATTCGAGCAAGTACGCCCACAAACGGAGAACGTTGTCGCGGCGCGCGCACACTCGCTCCATATCGTGGTATCTATGGAGGACAATTAATATTGTTAGAGATATTACATATTGTCAGGCCTGGCTCACTCCGCGCGGTACATCCGATAATTACCTACAGCGAAGCGCCCCGCCGGCGGGTATTATATCAGTCGAGTGTCACGCGCGCGCCCGTCGGGACGCCGCACTGGCGTGAGTTGTAGTACCTAATATTCTACGATCGAAGTATTATTTAAAATGGACATAAAGAGAAAGAAATATTATTGTGCGGCGTTCGGGTGTTTAAATTCGAAAAGAAATCTACCGGATTTTATTTATCTTTTTTTTTCGCTTCCCAAAGATGCTGTAAGGTATGTTGGCCATGTAGGTAATCAATAATTCTTAGGATAGTATAGGAACCTAACCTACCATGACTACTGCTCAGAATGCGTTCGTTCGTTTCAGCCAAATGATGTCCACTGCTGGACAAAGGCCTCTCCCAAGGTTTTCCATAATTAATGCGTTACACTACATACGTACACATGTACCTCATGACATATAAGTAGATTAATTATTTTTTCACTAGACAGCAACCCTAACAGCGTAAGAAGAGTTCAGAGGCACGCGATAGAAAGAGACAAAGCTTGTAGGTGAATAAAATTGTAGGTACGTAGTGCTGTGCGAGCTGAATTCCACTGTATCACGTCGTAGCAAGACTCGCATTTATTTAAATCGTCTTGCGGAGTAATCCTTCTGTACCTGTACTATTACTTATTCTGTGATATTGTGTTCTTTAAGTGTGGCTGGCAGAGTAAAAAAGCTAAGGCCTATGGTCGCTTCTAACACTTACTCGGCATTAGGGGAATTTTCAACTTCAAACTATAGTCAAATAAGAATAGTAAACATGTTCACTTTAGCGCCACTAGTTGCAGACGCATTACCAGCATGTTAATACTGTAGTAGCGGGAGCACTTTTGAAAAGTATGGAAACTATTTACACATAGCGTAATATTTTTTTAAAACAAATCATACTTATTCTTGTTTTGTTTGAGATAACAACTATGGTATCCAGCAGCATGGAATTAAACAATAAACTCAATCTAATCACCAAACTGGTGTGAAACTAGAAGTACAATCGAGAGTATATCAGGCTCCATTTTTTTGTAGCAAAATAGCACTTATTGCAACTACATAATCCACTGTACCTCTCAGCCTGCAGCTCGGAGCAGACGCCGACCACGGCTTGCACGCGCTCCTCGTAAGCAAAGATGTCGGTCTCGATAGCCTCGTGATTGGCGGCCGTAGCAATGTAACACCTATCACAACTACATAAGGCACTGTACAGCTTGTTACCTCTCGGCCTGCAGCTCGGAGCAGACGCCGACCACGGCTTGCACGCGCTCCTCATAAGCGAAGATGTCGGTCTCGATGGCCTCATGATTGGCTGCTGCGGCAATGTAGCATCTATCACAACTACATAAGGCACTGTATAGCTTGTTACCTCTCGGCCTGCAGCTCGGAGCAGACGCCGACGACTGCTTGCACGCGCTCCTCATAAGCGAAGATGTCGGTCTCATGGCCTCGTGATTGGTGGCTGCAGCAATGTAGCACGTGTCACAAGTACATAAGGCACTGTATAGCTTGTTACCTCTCGGCCTGCAGCTCGGAGCAGACGCCGACGACGGCTTGCACGCGCTCCTCATAAGCGAAGATGTCGGTCTCGATGTCCCGTGATTTGTGGCCGTGGCAACGTAGCATCTATCACAACTACATAAGGCACTGTACAGCTTGTTACCTCTCGGCCTGCAGCTCGGAGCAGACGCCGACCACGGCTTGCACGCGCTCCTCATAAGCGAAGATGTCGGTCTCATGGCCTCGTGCTTGGCGGCTGCAGCAATGTAGCACCTATCACAACTACATAAGGCTCTAAGCTTGTTACCTCTCGGCTTGCAGCTCGGAGCAGACGCCGACGACGGCTTGCACGCGCTCCTCATAAGCGAAGATGTCGGTCTCGATGGCCTCGTGCTTCTTGGCAGCGGCCTCCACTGCAGCCAGGTCGAAGCCGAAGTTGTCCTGGCTGACCAGGCGCTGGTTCTCCGAGAGCCATGTCTCGCGCATCTGGGCTTTGCGGTTGAATCTGGGGATACAAACATTGGATCAGTGACAGTGTTGGATTCAAGTTAGTTATCACTATCTAACTAATAAACCAAATAACTGGCATCGTTCATTCGTTCGTTTCAGCTAAATGACGTCCACTGCTGGACAAAGGCCTCCCCCAAGGTTTTCCACAATGAACGGTCCTGCGCTGCCCACATCCAGGCTCTTCCCGCGACCTTTACCAGATCGTCGGTCCACCTAGTAGGAGGCCTGCCCACGCTACGTCTTCCAGCCCGTGGTCGCCACTCGAGAACTTTCCTGCCCCAACGGCCATCGTTGTTGCTGGCATAAATGGTATTAAATAGATAGCTTTTCTTGATTTCCCATAAAGGGTACGATTATTTATTTTCGAAGTTGATCACAAGATTAATATCCGACGGTTATTGACAAAACCACATCAAGGTATATTATGTAATTATGTAACAACACTCAGTCCTGTGATTGGTCTAAATAACATTGAGATTCAACCAATCATAAGCTGAACCTATGCTTGAGATGACTCTTAAAGGACCTTATAAAAGCGTGTTGGTAAAACTGTAGTTCACCTATTGAACCCTATTGGACTCCTATAAGACATGTAAAACCTGTTTTACCCCATACATTGTTGTACACTTTTATCACCCGTACAAATTACTACACAAAAATCCAAAACCAAATCCCAAACTTACCTAGCAGCCAGCTGTTCCAGCTTCTCCTGTCTGATCAGTTCCTCTCTCAGAGCCAGTTCTCTCTCGTGCTCTGCCTTCTCTAAACGCTCCCAGGCGCGATTGATGTCGTGGATCATCTTGCCTTCTTTAGGCGTGTAGGGCTTCTGATTGGCTGCACGCATGCGGGATTGCAGCGTGAAGAGAAGCACTTCGAGGTTACCCTTCTCGACGAACCTGAGGGAGAAAATAGAATATTCGTACTTTGTCGAACATTACGAGTACGGTTTGTATAAAATATATGAATTTGGTCTTATTTGATGCAGGATTAAATGCCCTACAACTGTTATAAAGATCAGTTCACGATACTGTAAGTTCTTTCCGAGATATAACCCGAGATACGAGGTGTGTTCAAAAAGTAAGGTGACTTTTCAAATTTCGCGGGCAACGTACTTTCGATTATCGATTTTTTTATTTTGTCATGTCGGTACACTCTTCCCGAACATCTGTACCAAGTTTCAAGTGTATAGCATTTTTTGTTTGGTTGTGAGAGGCGTAATGGTTATACGTGTTTTGCGTGCTCGGCGATTTTTTGCTATCGAAAAATATGGATCAAAGGATTTGCATCAAATTTTGCGTAAAAAAAAATTAAATTTAGTGCTCCGAAACACTTGAAATGTTGACAGTGGCATACGGTGAAACTGTTCTGAGTAAAAAAAAATGTTTCAAACTCTTCCAAGATGGCCGGGAAGATGCCAATGACGAGCCTCGCTCTGGACGCCCAAGCACGTCAACAACTGATGAAAACGATCAAGCAGTGAAGAAAATTGTTTTGGAAAATCGTCGAATCACTATCAGAGAAGTTGCTGAGGATATCGGCATATCGCTTGGCTCGTGCCGTGGATTTTTTTCTAACGTTTTGGAAAAACAATTCATGGCTTTTGCATCCCCATGTGAATTTTTCTTGTTCCCAAAATTAAAGAGACCTATGAAAGGACGGAGATTTGCAACGATTGAGGAGATAAAGACTGCATCGCTGGAAGAGCTAAAGGCTATACCGAAAAGTGCTTATGAGAAGTGCTTTGAGGATTGGAAAAACCGTTTGCATAAGTGTATTGTATTTGAGGGGGATTACTTTAAAGGGGACAACATAAATATTGATAAATAAATAAATATTTTTTCTTAAAAATACAAAGTCACCTTACTTTTTGAACACACCTCGTATAACCGTAAATCCGCAAATGGGGTCCCTCAAAAGGAGCATCCCCAACACTTAAACACAACTCCGCCGAAGGGGAATAGTCCTATTGGGCAACAAATGAAGTATATGATGTATAGAATGAACAATAAAACCCTGTATAGGAATGAAATCCTAATTGATTTATTGTTGTTTTATTCTACTAGCCTATAAAAGGAATAGCAATTCGTGTGAAACTTACTTAGGCGGCTTCTCGACAGTGCGGTAGTTGGCGAACTGTATGAGCTGTTGGCGCACGCCTTCCAACGAATTGGCGAAAGTACGGTCGCCCAGCGCCTCGATCGTACGCTCGATCCATTGCAGGAGGTCGCTGAAACAATACAACAGTGGTCAAATAACTTTTCCAGGAATAAAACGTTAGAAAAAGATGGCAGAAGGAACATCATGCCCTGCAAATTATTATAAGGACATGATTCCTAGCAGCTGAGGTCTTTTCACTTTAAATTTAAATAATTTATTGTCCTGACATGATGTGAAACACCTGGCAAATTAATGGAGTGTCTTGTACAAGTAGTTTTAATTTACAGTCTTGGTGGACTACAGGATGGTTGGACTATTGATACTTCCTTTGATATTGACATTGTACAGACAATTTTGTTGAAAAATCGCTTCTACTAGAATTACATAACATATTGAGATTGGTGTCCCATCGCTGCATGTATACAATCACAAATGAAAATCGTTTTTTTAAAGTCAGCTGCTGATTTCATGTTTCATTTTCATCCCAACATAAACACCCATATCCAGCATTCTAAGTAAAAGAGATTATAATAGAAAAAAATACACCAAGGCATGTTTCTTTTCTCGCATTCATTTTGCTGTCACAAGCTCACCTGGTAAGCGACTCATACTCCATCATCATCTTCTCATTCTCCATAGCAATGCCGACGACCTTGCCGATCCTCTTGCCTTGAACGGTCTCCTGCTTCATCTTGCTGAAGTAGTGGTAGTATGTCACCACGTATGTGATGATCGACTTCTCGTCTGGGTGGTCTACGGCGATGTCTGTGAGAGTAAACGTGATGGTTATTTTATTTATTTATTTATTTATTATTCATTATTGAGCAATTACATATTTGATCCAAATAGCGTCCTAAATCCTTTTTAGGTTTGTCTAGACACTATTGTTCTCTATACAAATAAAAACAAACGTTTTAGTATAAACATTCACAACACTTTCAGATATACAAAATATTATTTTAGCGAGTGCGGTTAAGACAGGTAATAAAATACCAAAAAACAGATATTCTTTAAAGGATATTACAGTGAACAAACTAATCGGATGGGGCAGCAATAAGTCAATAACATTATTAATTGCTAGACGTAAAGTTCCCAACTCCCAAGGTATGCCACAAAGCATGGCCAACCTCCCAGCTGTTTTTATTAAGGGCGCTTTGATTTTAGTTGTTAAATTAATAAATAGACAATAATTGAGTTAAATGTTAAGTTTTTACAAATTCTACGGAAGAATCGCGTTTTGAGGGTTCATAATTCGTCTTTCTCACTCCTTCTGTATATGATTTAAAAGTGTAAGATATCTCCAATATTTTTTAACTTAAGGTAAACAAAGAAAATTCACATAAGAAAACGATTTTTTACCTTCAGCATCCAGCAGTTTGGTAAGTCCGAGTTTCTCCTCAGCGACATTAAATGCATTGTTCAAATTATGAATGGGATTGCTTCTGTGCAACCTCTCAAACTGGATCAGGTCAGGTCTGTGCTTGTGTATGATGGCGTTGAAGGCCAGGCCATCTCTCCAGGAGGTCGTGAAGTTGCGAACGTTTACGTTGTTGTAGCCAGCTGTCTTCATCTGACACCAGAGGAGCAGGGCGTCCTTGGCGGATTTGGTTTCTTTGTTGTCTGTCTCTTCGATTGTGATGTCTTGGATCTGTTAGAGAAGATGATGATTGAATTAAATCTACTGAACATAGAGATGGTGGTTTAATGAAAGTTTACTGATTTATCATCGGCATATTGCCAAGTCTTACGCCCCTATAAAACCACCCCTTTCTGCTCTTAAATCACTTACAGCCAATAATAATAATAATAATAAGCCCCGCAGGGCAGCTTTGTGGCGAGCTGTTGGTGAGTAGCGACACCACGGGGCCAGTTGTTAATCCGAGTGCTCCCGAGAGTCGGTCAAGATCCTCGTCTTCGGCTTGCCGAAGTGGAAACCGAGANTAAACAAATTGCAATATTTCTTTGACCGTCGTCAGCCATAACTTCCCTCAATCACGTTTTTGTTTTGTGCCACGTAATCACTGTAAATACCAACAAGCAACAATCAAACAGAGGAGGGACGTACTTGTCATGAGGATACTATGGGTGTGGGTTTTGTGGTTGTGATTTCGCTGCGACAAGATGCCGCTTTGGCAGTTCGAAAGATCAGCGACTTTGATGGTAAGCCACGCTCATTTCTCTTTCTCTCTCCACTCCACATTTCACATTTAGTCTCCCTCTAGTCCGTGCGTAAATGGCATGTGTAAGATGAAATGATGCATTGTGCTTTAGTCCTCCAGGTGCAATGATGATTATTATGAGGAAGCAACCACTATAGCACCAACACACCAAAGCAAGATGGGTCGCCAGGCACCTATGCCGGGACGAGATCAGCCAACCCGCGTACGTGTTACGTGCATACACTGTTGGTAGGTAAACTTCCAGATTTAGATTCTCTGAAGATCCAAAAAATGTTTTTTGACGTGTGTTTTAAATGTAGTTTTCACTTTCAGGGCGCGAATCGGCGGGGGGAGATCGTTCCAGCAACGCGTCGCAGCGAACCTGAAGGAGCCACGGAATGCGACTGTTCGATGCCTAGGTGTGGAGAAAATGTGGGTGCATGCTCGTTTCGAATATTTTCTATGATCATCAGCCCACTCCAACTTATTGTACAGATACTTAGGCTTTGCTGTCAATATAATGCCGAACAACATAGTGGCCAGATGTAACTTCCTGCGCGCCTCCATTTTCATAAGGCCAGCAGCGTTTAAAAAGGGGGTAATATGTGTGCGAGGTGGCACAGTAAAACAGAAACGCGCACATGCATTCTGAACTCTTTGAAGAAGTTTTGCTGACCTGGCCAGTAGACATGGGCCATACACTGTATCACAGTAGTTCAATTTGGACAGTACAAGAGATTCACACAGTAATATTCTGAGTTTCTCACTAATATATGGTCTAAGCCTGTACAGCACTTTCAGCCGATAAAAGCAGCTCCTAACACACTCACTGATATGGCTCTCGAAACGAAGGTGGCTGTCAAAAACTATGCCCAGGTTCCNGTGCAATGCAATAGACTAGCAATCTTGTAGAAACATTAACATTCATGAAGATATCTTTAATAGATGAATGCAATGAGACGTTTCAGTCCATGTTGTAATTTAAAAGAAACATAATTTACAAAATTGCTCACTTCTATAGGCCTATATAGTCTAGCGTTAGTATAGCGTTTATCGTGACCCTTATTTTAGGACAGTAGACGATTTTGCCAATATCAAAGAATACATTTTACACAATTTTATGAACAAATAAATTGCTTTTCGCCACTATCAGAAGCAGAATTAAACAATATATATTAGTTAGATTGCAGTTTATTCTATTGGATCATATAACACATACACTGCATCACTGCACTTGTTCCTATTCAGTGATTCCTTTAGTAGATTATCTCATGTCAATACCACTTCGTCGGGAATTATCGTTACCGTCATTTTACTTCATTGAGATGGACAATGGAGTTTACTAACATCCAATCGCCTCTATAATTAAAACTTTAAAAAACATTTTTTTACAAAAATTTTAAGGATGCAACACGAATTCGAGTTAATATCATCATTGCAACATTTTAGCTTCGAATTTTCTTAATCTTTTAGTAGTCCGTCCGTTGTATTACTAATATTGCTATAAACAATAAATTTATCTCGATTGTGCACTATAAATGTGTCAATAAAAACAAAAATAAACAAGATAAGACCTACTAAAGGCAGTAAAATTATTTAACATCATACATCACTCTTTAATCACTGTGTAAACTGTCTTGAAAACACAGGATGATGATCCAGATTTCATAACTAAACTAGAAGAATATTAATTACTTTGGAACTTGGTGTTTTCCCAACTGACCTGGAAGCGCAGGATGATGGTCCAGATGAGTCCAAGATTGAGGCGCGGGTTTCCATCCACGATATCGTGGGATCCCATGTTCTCCAGATGCACCCGCTGTTCCCTCAGGAACTGGAGCGCCTTGTCAACGTTCTCCAGGCAGTGGATACGCATCTTGCCCTTTGTGGGGCGCGGCTGTGGCAGACAAAAATCAATAAGTATACAGTTACAAAATTAATACGGAGTTGGGTTGAGCTATGATGCCGCCGCATTCGTTTTGAACCCTATTTCATATTAATTAGGTTTATGGCGACAACAATGCAGCCAACAAAAGGTAAGGTTAAAAGAGAACACTGGTCCGAAAATATGACAACAGCGTTGGGGATAAGATCTACTTTCTCGTGCATCAGTTTTGTGGTGACTGACCATTTAAGTTAAACGTCTCGTGAAAGCTGCGGAAAGATTTCACCAATCAAATTAATTATTAATATTTAATTTGTATAAAATGCATTTTCATCAGCTGTACTTGTAATATCTGTCATTTGTCTAGAATAAACCAATAAATCATATCGTATTGAAATGAAAATCTGGTGAGCGCAAAATAAATAATCACACGCAAAGCAATTAATATTTATATTAATTATTGATTTTCATTGATATTCATCATTAGGAAGAAACACGAAAAGAAATTTCGCTGAGAATTATTTTCAGAACCTTGTCTCATAATGGTACCCGAGTTTGAAGAGTCGCTCGGCCTATGTAAAAGGAGGACAACATAATTCGCCACTTCTAACCGCAGTCAGAAGTCGCCAAGTTGAAAATTATTATTTAAGAACCACATTAATCACCCCACTGGGGTATATTTAGAGAGTGATTTGTATAGCATTGAGAATGTGAAAACCGTAAACAGTGGTGAGCCCGCATTATGCACACTTCGCTAATTTTAACACCAGAGAGAACGGTAAAATAATATTGCAATTCACAAGCGTAGAGTTATTAATAATATAGGAAGTTTATTACAACAATAATAACCGATTTTCCCCAGTCTGCCATGACCGTGTAACAATTAATTTGTGTGGGTCAATAAAACAAAGTATGTAATATGATATAATTAAATGGCTTTACACATCATTTGTTGTCCTTGGCGTGAATTTATTAGCAGTAAAATTAAATGATGTTGATAAGGCTCGTGATACACATAAATTCGTATAAAATCATGCATTTATACGAGGAAAATATGCATTAAGTATTGCATATTTATTCCTGATTGATAAATATGGAATGCCAGTATGAAGGCTTGCAAAAGGTGATCTTTGGACCAAAATAACAAGAATAGTTCTTCGGATCTGTAAGGTATCTTCCAAACTTCTTAACCTGTGCAGTTTTATTTGAGTTTCAATTCAAGCACTCTTAGGCTGACTTGCACCACCTAACTTAGACCGTAACTTTAACGATAACCGATGTTTTTGGATGGAGTTTGACAGATTTTTGACGTCTGTCAAAGTTAAAGTAAGCTGGTGCATCCCAGCCTTAGTGCTATACGCTATGCTTTGTCATAAAAAGATACTAACTACTGTTAGACTGTTTTAGTTTTTATGTTTAACAGTGATAGAGCCTAATCTCTCTAATGTATCTTGGAGTCTTTAGTTACAGGTACCCACCAGTCTTTCTCCGGACAGCACCTCGAGGAGTTTGAGGAGCATTTTGCCGTCCCTCATGTCTACGTAGAGGTCGCCGATGCGGTGCCCCACGCGCACCAGGTGGGAATTCACCCATTTTTGGAAAGTCTTCTTCTGTACACTCTCTCGTTCGTCTGGAAATGCAAGAATATTGCATTAGCTTTGTATTACTATCAGAATCTTGTCCATATCAATTGATTTCCCTTTGAACGTGGTTAGATGTGTTCTCGTCCCAAAGAAATAAGGTGTCTTTTGTAAATGTAAGTCAATGGGGCAAATACAGAGTTGGGGGAACCACGCAAAACTACCAAAGGGGTGACAACATCAACAGACCTGGTGAAGGCAAAATGAAACGTACAAAGAGGAGGCTCTTGTCAGAATTAAGGGTGACACTTTGAAAGAAATGAAAGACGTTTTTGCAATAATCAAACCAGTAAAAAATACATGAAGGAACCAAGAAAACCAGTCAAAGGGACCACAGAATCGACAGACCTGGCGAAGGGAATATAAAATGTACAAAGAGGACGCTCATGACCGAATTCAAATACTTGTTGTAAAAGAAGGGAATGTTAACACATTAACCGCCAGTGGGGCCGGCCGCGGCGCGGAGACCAGATGGGCGGTCTGGGCGGTATGGGAAGTGTGGTGCTGCGCCGGCGCACGTCCTGGCCCGCCAGAGACATCGTAATAACTCCGGTACGGCACAGCCGGTGTTAAGTTCGGTAATTGATATGGTAATAAGAGACGAGGATTGGATTGCTGGTCGCAGTTCGCACGCCTTGAAGCGGAAAGTCCTAGATGTGCAGGGTGTTGCAGGTGTTTGCAATCAAATTTTTTTTTTATTATTATTTCAATAATAACCACAACTTTTTAGGGGCACAGTTTAAAATGCGGTAATCTAAGAGTAAAGTTAAAAAGGGAAAGTTAACGGAACCAGTTGAAGCACACCTCATTGTAATTGATTCATTTGTAGCACAAAATTTTACATGTACCTAATTTAACTAATTATGTAAGTTAAGGTAACGTAGTTTCCTGTTCATTTTTTTTCTTTAGACAATATACTATGTAATTTACATAAGCCTCTTTACATCTACATCATACATATGAATAAACGCTAACAGATACAAAATTGACAAGGAAAACGTTGATCGATTTATATTTAGAATACAGATCAGCATATAACCTAATTTTAATGGGAAAATTACACCAAGCATTAAATAACCGGGCTCACCGCATTGATATTTGCAACGAAGATAACGGGTTATCATGTTTTTTTTTATTATCATATTTCGACACATTTCATGGTGTTTCAATGGTTTTAATAGAGAGGAGTTAAAGTTTTACCTTTTTAAACACGTTACACAGTTAACACAATCCTTAGATTAAACTACTTTGCCTTGAAGACCATCTTCCACAACACATGCAAGGAGCAAAATAACCTAAACCAATTCCTAGGGCACCCTCCCTGGATTTAGGGGCAGACCACACTCACGGCACATCACTGCACTGTCACAAAGCACTACGAACCTCTCAGTTCTACCACGACCTTATCATAGTACGCCTCCAGGCCCGGCACCTCGATATCCACGCCCCTCTTGATGAGGTCGTAACACTCCGTGGATGTCATGTCGCCAGCACATAGGCGACTGAGCGAGCCCGGTCAAAGAACGGGCACAATTAGAGCACAAAATTCAACTGCCCCACGGCACAAGGATATTCGATACTAATGCTCCAGATGTCGGCAACCGGTTTTAATTATCCTACATTAGTTATCGACTTTTTGACCTGTTAGTTTTTTTAAACGCAAACTGTGAACAGTAGGCAAAATTTTGTGCGTTACGGAGCATCGCTAGTAAAGATTTAACCGAGAGAATTCGTTTGAAATCTGATAGCGATGTGTCAGTGATAACGCTGATATCAATGGGAAGATCGTCAACAACCATGAGCAAGACGATTGAAAAAATATTAATAACACTATCATTTTTACTTTCAATCAGTTAATGCGACTAAAGTAGTCATTGGAGACCAAGCTGTAGATTTTGGCTCTACAGAAGTTGCAGTGGTGACAAATTGTGGTGGGATAATCCCGTTAGTCAATGCGACACAGTTTTATACTTTTGTAGGGGTCATCGTATTCTATTGTTACTTGTGCCTTTTGTTAAAATATGAAATAAATAAATAAATATTGTAATTGCCAAATGTTTGCGAAACCTGAATTAATAGGAAAAACGGAAACGGTGGTTTGCACCAACCGTGATAAGAACTAAACAACAGTAGATGATACAAACCAGAATAATACACATTTGTATATTACAGGAATGTATATAATCTGTACGGTGTGATGTGTGGCAGTTTAATTATATTTTTAAATCATTCTGAACTCATGTAGGTAAGTCATTTATTATGAAATCAAGTGCTTATTCAACAAGTTATTAAAAAGAGTAAAAAACTAAATAAATTATTACTTACATTCAATTAATTTATAGTCGTGTTAAAACATGCATTTATTGTATAATTTACTGCTGTTACTGTAATTAAAGAATCCATCATAATAATTTATTGTCATGTTATAGTCATGGATGTCTGCCAGTGCCAGACGTATATATCTATCTGTGGGGGATCAGATATTGAAAATATGGTATGTATAATAAAATTAAATCCATTTGCCATTCATACAACAATGTTCAGGTTTCAAAAGTAAATCAGCGCTTATCTTGTCGTGACCCTCGTGGTATCATAATCGACTTGGCTATCTATCACACTTTCGATGGCATACTTTAGCGTCAATAGATGACTGATTGTAAATATGAAGAACAAGTTACAATATGCGACTGAAAATTTACTTGTATAGATTTTAGTAATCACAGAAAAATGTTTGGAATTATGCATATAGCCCGTATGAAACATTTATACAAATTGCGACTCTGGTAAAACACAAAAATAACTGACAAACATTTAAATAAAATAATCTGAGTCTGGTATGGGACGGGTAAATAAAATTAAGATATATTCCTAGTATCAAATGTATCAAAATATCATTGACATAACCACGCGGTGAGTGCCAAGCCAATAAAATATCTAATGTAATGTAATATATTCTATGTGCAGCCAGCCGTTCTCAGCAATTAAGCATCCAATTTCTAATTACACAACGACGTAAACCACTAGCATCTGTTGTTGTTTGAATGTTGAATGCAATCACTGCACATACAATGTCTACTGTTTTGAATAACTTAACTTCACATAACTCTTTTTACTTGGTTTCATTCAGACAAAAAGTTGAATCCCAATCAGCTGAAAGTGGAAGTGAAATCAAATTGATTTTAAAGTTTTAAACAACTGCAGAATAAATGAGCAAAAGTTTAATAACCTTTTAATTAGTCAGGAGCGGATTTTATAACATAGGTCAGCCTCGCACGGACGTACGGTTACCAATTGACTAGTAATATCAGCTATTTCTGATGAGTTATATTATATCCCAGGGTGGCTATGGTGGGATGGTTTATACTTTATGTACAGTCGCAGAATGAAAAGGTTCGTCACCTTAGTGTCGGTTTTCGCTTGCACTATAGTCTATCCAATATAGCTTGATTAGAATGACGGCTGTCAAACGAATGTGACTAGTGCTGGGTATGTTTCGTACGGTTCACATAGATGTATCGATAAGTTTTCGAAAAAATGATATAAAAAAATGCACCCGATTTTTCTTCATAAAAATGACAATTATGATTTAAATTTAAAGACAGTAAAATTTAAAATTCATGTCAAGGGTGTACAACCTAAGTCGTAGTCATTATCATCAGTGTTCCTCAGTGGTTTTTTCCTCTCGCTAGAGGGCGGTGGGCATCTCTTCTAGAGCAACCATAGTATTCATAGACCCAAAAAATTACCTGTGATTGATTTCCGATGTTTGATTATTGAAGAATGAAATGTTGTTTGGTTTTTAATAGTGAACATTTAGAAAAACGTATAACTTGACTTAATATGTTAAAAAAATAGTTAGAAAAAAATTTGTTAAATATGTTAAAAATTTAGTTTTAATTTAATATGACATTTGTCGATATGTCCCAACACTAACATTTTTGTAACTCGAGATAACCTTGTAGAGACGTCGTTAATACTCTAGCTTGATTTTCATAATTTCGAATTACTACTTATTGGTGTAATTTAACGCTGCATTTACACGAAATTAACATTTTTATTGGAAGCACTGTCGTCGAAAATATTGTTTGTAGGTCAGACGTGAATTATTTCTTGTCCGCCAATATTTAGCTCTCATTGATCGCTACTACAAAGTTATGTCGTTACTTTTGATGGCAGCTGTCATTCTAATCAAGCTATATTGGATAGACTATAGGTACTGTAAGAGTCAAACCTGCCAACATAACAGTGCGAGAAACAGTGCTGCTAACATTTAAATAAATATGACGTTTGCTAACGAATAAGGTTTTGCTTGTTTATTTTTCTATCCCATCAGTGCAATGCAATGATGACATTGACCAATTGACAATAGTTTTTTTTTTATTTAATAGAAATAATAATGGCAGGTTGAACCAACAAGAAGGTTTTAGTTTATCAATCATAATAATCTTCTTGACAAGATAAATCGTCAAACAACTTTGACATCAACATCTGAATAATTTTGAACTTTACTGACGAACAGTTAAAGATTATTTTCTCTAACTCGAGATTATTCTGTAACATAGTTTCAAAAGGTAATATGTGCTCGCGATTCGTTGAAGGAATCAATTTGAAAACTGACGAACCTTTTCATTCCGTGACTGTACGTTTATAATCCTGAGGATTATGAAGTCTTTGTTTATCCTTAGACTACATATTTTAAGTCAATTTTAAGCTTGTTATGTCTCTACCTACTGCAAGAGCACGACACTCTCTAATTTACCAGAGGCAACTAGAGCTTTTGCCTACATTCCCTAAGCTGGTCAGACGATTGGGAAGTCAGGACTCAGTCGTCTTTTACCACAATTACCACCTCCACGGGAGTGTTTCTTACTCTGTAGTAATTTTTTCCGGATCCACGCGTCATTGGTTAATTAATGACAGCGCTAATTAGATCAAAATAATCAATGGAAGACCCACCAGCTAGCGCCTTGATGCGCGATCGTTCGAATAGCATTGACGATGAGTTGCCGTCAATTTAGTCCCCATTTACGACATTCACGGGAAGAATGGGAGTGTTTCTTTTCTACGATGCCGGAACGATATGAAGGATTTTACCCTACACTGGTCAGACGTTATCATATTTATCCCTTAGTCGCCTCTTACGACATCCACGGAAAGAGTGAATGTTCCTGAACTCTGCGGCAATCTCTGCCGGGTGCACGACGCACGTGTCATTTGTTTATTAATGAAGGCACTTAGGGACTCGCCACACGAGCGTCTTTCGAGGGTCGTTGTCTTGCCTGTAGTTGCAAGCGCTGGCACAGCGTCGACGCGGCACGCCACTCACTGGCTCGGCGTTGGGCTGGTTTTAGTGTCACGCGGACCGTCCGGTGCGGACCCTCTCCACACGGCCAATCTGTATGAACTTCTAGGGAGCGTTTTAGAGTAATGCGGTCCGGAGGAACCGCTCCGCTCCCTAGCAGTTCATACAGATCGTCTGTGCGGAGCAATCCGCACTGACCACAGTCCGCGTGACACTAAAATAGCCTTGCCCCGGATACGCCAGGCAAGACAACGATGCTCGAAAGACGCTTTTGTGAGGGGGACCCTAATTAAATATAAGTAAGACCCACCAGCTAGCGCCTTGATGCGCGATCGTTCGAAAAGCCTTGAGGACGAGTTGCCGCCGTCGTACTCGAACTCCTCGATGAGCTCCTGCCCGTGGCCAATGGACGGGTCCCAGCGGGACACCGATATATCGGTCGTCATAGCAACCAGTGCTCTTTATCGTATTACTCAATTATTAGTTTAGTCTCTACAGGTGGAGCACGACACCAGAGGCAACTGGAGGATTTGGCCTACATTCCCCACGTTGGTCAGACGTTGTTAGCCTATTTGTCCCTTAGTCACTCTTTGCGACATTTACGGGAAGAGTGTGACTGATCCTTTTCTACGCTGCCGGAACCAAATGGAGGATTTACCCTACGCTGGTCAAACGTTAGCCTATTTGTCCCTTAGTCGCCTTTTACATTTCTTTCGGAAAGAGCGGGAGTAATCCTCTACGCTGCTGGAACTATTCGTCATTTGTAAAATAAGGAAGACCCACCAGCTAGCGCCTTGATGCGCGATCGTTCGAAAAGCCTTGAGGACGAGTTGCCGCCGTCGTACTCGAACTCCTCGATGAGCTCCTGCCCGTGGCCGATGGACGGGTCCCAGCGGGACACCGATATGTCGGTCGTCATCGCGACCGCTCACCGCCACGCCACACTCAAGATCTGGAAACGGAGAAACGGCATTATTAATTAACCAGTCAATGGTAATAGTAAAAACATAATTTTTAGAGTTACAGCCTTTTTTTCGTCAGGATAATACATGAATTTGTGCCCACCGGCCGCGGGGGCAGCTAGTGGCTTATGTGGGGTTCCCCGTGTTAAGTAATTTAACGTGCTAGTCCGATCTAGGGTTACTAATTATATTATTGCATAATTTGATTAGCAAATAAATAAAATTACTTCTTTTTTTCAATATGAAAACGATAAAAAACAAATGAAGTCTCAGTGTGTACCTACCTACCTAGATAAAAAAATGTGCATGTTAGAAGTACCTATAAGTCGGGGAAGTCCCTTGACACTAAGATAAATAATTATTGATGGGAGTCCCAATCGACTCAAACATTGGACAGGGAGATTTAATGTTATTTAAAGGTCTTTAAGCCTAATACTTTTCAAAGGAATTCCAGACAAAAACATGCCACACAACTTTTTATAAGAATAATAGCTGACTTTTAAAGGACATCTTCATTCTCAAGGCCGCGTAACACGATAAAAATAGACTGGATAAACACAAGACTCACTTATTTGGATTAAGTATTGACACGACAACGGTGTCATTAAAAATAACTAAACGATATAACTTCACAGATTTAGCGCAATGCCAAAAAACTTTTTAAGACTAATTTTTTATGCTAGACCTAGACTAATCGATAAACAGACCACTGATCACCTTGAATTTAGTCCCAATCAAATATTGCAACAAGACTCGACTTTCACACAACTATTTTAGCACAATCCTGCACGAATGCTATATTTTGTTATTCTGACATCACTCTTGCCGGTGATAAGATATCGATACATACTTTTGAAGAGGTTTATCGTATCGCCACTCCCAAGCGATACTAAGTTTCTTTCCTTCATTAAAAATAACTCGACGCCCTATGCAATATTGCTTTGAGAACCATAAACCGAATGTATGCCACTAACTCCCAACCCAAAATAAACGGTGATTTCAGATTCTCATATTATTATGGATGGATTTCTCACAAGATTAACACGTCCGAAGCAAAAACATGATGACTAACGTTGTTTATTCAGCAAGACAATTAATGTTAATGTGTCATGTACATGTAACTTGATGCCATAAGAAAAACTCTTGTAATAATACAAAAAATATAAGAAAAAGTATTTTACAAGGTTGATTGATGAATACCCACGCTATACTATGGTCACGGTAATACTATCTTATGGTTGACACGTAGGTACCTAAAGTTTTTAAGTACATAACATAATTAATTCAAGACTGAACTAATTATAAGTAACATCAGTTCGCAAGTAACTTCATTAAGTAGTGAGTCAATGTTGACTTAATGAAACAAACATCTTGATTTTCTTAATGAAACAAACATTTTTCTCAGTGAGATTCTATATTTTTACCTAATGGATGCCATTAGTTTAGGAAACCAACATAAAATCCAATAACTTACGATGAAATTGGACAGGAAACATCAATTTAAATGTAATAAATATTATTAGAGATTTAAGTTTCTACAATTTCACTATTTTATTTTAGTGAAATGACTCCTTTCTACAATTATTGGGAGTTACCAATAACATTTACTGGAAGTAATCAATCAACGAAGAAAATGTGTTGTGCAGATTATGAATGCAATAATACATGACTTAAACTCGTGGTTTTAGAGTTTATGTTGAGTTAAGCTGGTAACACACGTACAGTTTTACTATTTAGTTAAATTACTAATACAGATGTCTAGAAAACTGAGGTAATTTACTAATCAAATTAGCATTAGTTGACATTTCACAGTTAAAACTACTCGTGTGTAGACCGCTTTATTAAACGCATAATCTTGTGAGAAATCTCAAGATGATCTACAGAAGCAGACGGTCAGCTCACAATAAAACTTGGTACCGTTTTAGACACAGTCACTAATTAGTTACAATGCCTGTGATCCTGTCAATTAGCCATGACCTTTGAATGTGCTATAAAAACTGCAACTACTTATTTGTAGTAAAATAGACCCTGGGTCATTCCATGACAAATGTTACCGAGGGTGAAAAACTAAATATGTTCTTTTCGCATTAAATCTGATGAATTTTGAAAGTAAACATTCCAAATTATAATGTGCAACAAAAAAATCTGAAACAAACAAGTAATTTTTAAGTTATTGGTCTTCAAAGTCTATACTTAAGTCAACTGTCTGAATGATCATTTTCTCTCTAATTATTGGTAATAAGATTTAAAAAAAACTATCAATCTGTGAAACGTTTTGCCACTATATGATTCGAGGGTATTTATCATAGTATTGGTAGATAGCGTCATAGTCCCAAAAAAATGGATAATCATCAAGTTTTAAGTGTGTTTTCTTGTTACTTCGGCGATGTAACACCCGAAACAGAAAAACAGGTATTTGTTTTATTATTGTACTTTACACATGGATTAGGGTAACAATATTTGGTAAAAGTAAGGTCATGGTAGTAATGATTTCAAATACTAACTAATATCTGAGCATGATACTAATTTAGTATGTTTCTTTCTTGATTAAAAACTGTAACACCCGAAACGTTTCGGGTATTACATTTTTATTTATATGTCGATAATGTGTGTATATTGCTTGGAGAAGTGAAAAAGTATTACTGTGAGGGTCCTTTGACCTCCCACTAGCGCTGGCATCGGAAAAGGAGTCATATTTCTCAATTTAAGACTTTTTTGAAATGTCGACTTAACACTAAAATTAAGGTATTGCTAAAAAGTGTCGATGTTTGACATTTCCAATAAATATCGTAATTAGAAATTAAAGTAATGCTATTTCAAGCCAAAAACAATAGAAAAAGTTATATTCTGAGGAAAAATTTAACTTGAACTTTGCATATTTTTAAAAAAAAGCTGCTTCGTAATTTCAAACCAAAATTCGCTCTATTTGTGTTTATTTGTTGTACTCCTTATTTTGTGGTACCTAGAGACTAATAAAACACTGATTTTATCGATAAAACGCGTTGCATTTTCGTACTCGTAACACCCGAAACAGAACCATTGTAACACCCGAAACAAAGAAAAAATGTTTAAATAAATAGTAAAACGTTTTATTTAACAGTAATTGTATGTTACATGGTTTGTAAATTTCATACTTTAGAAGTCCTGTAAGTTTTAGGTATAATTCCTTAAGAAAATTCGCTAAATTTCGAGTAAATGTAGCAACAGTCAGAACATAGAGGCAAAATCTCGTAACGCCCGAAACGCACACTTTTCGACTCATATTTTCGTTATCCTACATTCTAAGCTGTACAAACTTTATTATTTAGATAAAACAACTAAAAACGGACAGATTAAGGCACTAACATTATTAAAATACTATTTCAAAATACATGAAATTGTTGAATATGTGTGTACGAACGTAACACCCGAAACGATGGAATGACCCCCCTGCAAAAACGTGTGTGTTTATTTGAAGAATAACAGTTGGAACAATCTTCAATAAACCACAAAATAGGTCAGCATTATAAAGCTAGCTAAATCTACTTCTTGCAAACTGCTCTTTGCATCACCTATTGCTTAATATAAGTGAATGAATTTGTCACATCACATTCATACGCGACTGTAAAATAAAATATCCATGTAGTCATCTCAAAAACCTATGAATAATCCAGGGTTCGAAAATATCCTTATGATTTTTAACAATCTCTGATAAATATCATAAATATCGGATATTTTCGAACCCTGGAATAATCCTAGCTGTTTAGTAACATTGAGTTGAGGGTTGCACCAATGTCAACAAAGAAACCAACAATCAATAATTACGTGTTTGTTTCACGAAGGTCAAAATGCCACAGACACCAATGCGGTATTTCACTCCAGTCATTAGAATACAGGTTTGCTCAGCCAATAGAACAAATGGTGCCATTGTATCTACAGCAGTAGTATAAGCGGAGTAGATTAGCACCACAAAGTCGAACGACGCTTGATATCGAACAGGCAAGAAGGGCGTTGACCTGAGGCATGCAGACATGGCGTCGGCGATACACCATGGGCCGCCATTAAACACCATCGTAGACCTTGGCTGTGCTGCCACGAACAAAGCACGCAATGCTTTAGTGCCGACGCAAAATAGAATCTAACAACCGCACGGATAAGGCCATTACGTCGATGTCACATTTCAGATCGCAGAACGTTTTATTTTAACAATGGCCAAAATGGCAATGCCCGATCACAAAGATTAAGATTCCGTTGTCGCGACTGTGAAAGCTGACGTTGTAGAGCTTTGTAGAGCTCTGTACATAAAGATACAAAACTGAGCTATAGATTCTAACATGGATAATGAAAACATCAATAAACAAGCAGTTTTACGACATGACGAAACCCAAAGTGAAATCAATGGTACAATAGATTAGTAACATTAAGTGACTTCCACTAGCCGACCTTCGAGGGAATAAACACTGGCCATTATTCAAATCGAGCATTCAGAGGAATCAAATCAAGCGTGGCTTTGAATGCTGTAATTCTATAGCTGGTACTCTTATGTAATCCTGATGTCCTAGGTCGCGTGTTGTAAAATTATATGGTCCCTAAGTGGCTTTACACGGCTAGCTAGTCCTGCTAGTTGGTATAGATAGATAGGCAACTCATTGAACGTCCCCCGTCATTTATAACGTCTAGTATATGGCTAGACGTCACGCTATCATTATGAGGGGACATGACGGGCAAAGTAGCGTCGCATAGCTAATACTCGCCAGGCTGCTTTAATAGCGGATATCCTATTCCTTTTTCGCTATGTAACGAAACTGCTTTGGGATAGTTTTATTTATAAACTGCTGCTACTTGAATAAGCTTATATCAGAAGACACCACATAATGTTGAAAGTCTCGATGTGGGCACGTATAAAAACCATAACCGTATTACAGTTCCTATTAGGAACTTCCTAATAAAGATACATTTTGTAATCAATCCATAACGCCGTATAACACGAGTTCAAAACACGCTTTCGTAT